AATCACACATAGGCAAGGAGCTGACAACATCTAATTACTTGTAAGTGAATTAAGTTCTCCTTTGCTTGGTTCGTTCATCAACTGTGATCTGTAAATAGAAAACAGAGAAAGTGCTAGAGCTACAATACATACATGTATGCTTCAGCCTGTTTTATACATCACATTGCAGGTATATATTCCTCTATTTGCAATAATGTTTTTTAAGGTTTCTTTGTCTTTTCTTCTTCCTCTTCTATTAGATCTTCTTCTTCTTCTTCTTTTTCTTCTTCTTCTTTTTCTTCTACCTTTTCTTTTTCTTCTTCTCCTTCTCATTTCTTCTTTTCAGTTTTTCTTTGCCCTTGTTGTTGTTGTTGTTGTTCTTGTTCTTCTTCTTCTTCTTCTTCTTCTTCTTCTCCATCTTTATCATCATCATCGAGATGATATCCCTTATGATCATATTGAGTTCCTTTAAAATTGACTTTATAATTTCCACCTTGTAAAACTTCTAAAAATATTATAAGAAAACGATACGTGCAGCCGATATATCAATAGACTGATAAAGTGAATATATTCATGTGTCTGCATTATGAAAGTGTATTAGAAAGTGTGGTTTGGGTCCTTGATTTTCTAGTGTCTTTATACTGTGTGTTGTTCATTCTTGGCGTCTGACGATTTACTGGTACTCAAACCATTTGTTTCTTATTCCTGGAGTTTTCAAATAAACAATGCTGTTTACCTTGGTTGTTGCCGAGTCAGGTTAACCTAAGGCAACCAATGTGATTGAGAATTGGGCAGTGTTTCACGAAACCTTCATCAGAACAAGTTCGCCGACAACCAATTGAAACATGTATATTATGTCGGTGAACGTTTACTTATGACAGTTTTGTGAAACTCTGCCCTGATTATGATTTTGAAAAGCCTACCTGCATGTGCGGATCTTGTTTTATAATCATAGATTTTAACTTGTTTCAATTTAATAAAATCCCTGAGACCCAGTAATTGCTTTGTGTATACCAGCACATCTTTGGAAATAGAATACCAACACTAAAACGACGATAAGATTTAGGCTGGTAAGAAGCACAGTCATATCTCCAAACTCAATCCAATCCGATTCTAAACTGACCAATTCTTTTCCATTTGAGGGACTGCATTTATTTCCAGTTCTTTTGTTGGTTTTGTGTTGATGGCATTGGTGTGACAGAACTCTACTAGTGCAAAAACTGTACATACACTGTATTTTGCAAGGCATAGCTTAAAGCATTTATATTTCTAATGCTAGCAATCTCTATCTGCATGGAGGCGTACACACAGTACATGTACAGTACACATTTTAATTTAGAAGTTGTTCTTTGATGGTTATTTGCTGGCAACTTGGTTCGAAAGTTGAGAGATATTTCCTGATTTTGAAATCGATTTGGAAGATAAACATCATGGATCTCTTATGTTGCTTGACTAAACTAATACAGGTAAGTGCATCTTCGAGAGGTTCCTTGGAAGATATTTGATCTAGTTTTAAGATTAGACGAGAATTAATGCCTGTCATTTCCTTAAAGCAATGTTGTCTGAAGCCTTAATATTTGGTATGCAATTACAATGAGGACATTTTTTTAAAGTATATGTCTCTCTTTTTTTTTCCTTTTTCCTCTTCTTCTTCTGCTATATCTTCTTCTTCATCTTCTTTTTCTTTCTTCATCTTTCTTCACCTTCTTCTTTGTCTTCTGTTATTTTTTGTTGGGGTGATCACACTTTGCCTTTGCTTATTTTGGGACAATTTTAATCTAGTATTGCAACAGAACTTCATCACTTTCACTACTTAAATGGCAGTTTAAGTAAACCTTTGTGACCAAATCCTTCATAGTCCTTTCCTTTTTTTAATTCAATGTTATATTGTTATAATTTCATATTCATGTGAAGAAGATATCAACTGTAGCTAGAAAGATTGTTACTGTGTTTATACCACTTTCTTCATTTCTGCATTTCTGCAAATTTATTTCCTGTTACCTCTTTCTCGGTAATACATGTATGCACTCATTATAATTAAATCATCAATTCATAGCATTGTGACAGTACACTTCATCATCCCCCTTTCACAAATCAATTAAGATTTCAGAAAAAAATCTCTTCACCGAGCTTCGATATCTCCTTGCTTTCTCTCTTGCCATAAATCAAGTAACTGAATTCTCAATGCATCTTTTGAAATTAAAAAAGTGGAGATTGCTACGCTACGTCGCGTCGGAGCCTTCACGCTGCGATAAGGCTGTAAATCTATTATTTACATTGAGGACACGTTCAATAATTCATGACGTTATACCGCCATCTAAGCATCCTTCAGTCCAAGCCGCAGATGCATGGTTAAAGGCTGGGGATGGACGGGCGAGGTTAGAGGCCCCGTTCTGACCTCGCATATGTTATCAGTGCACCTGAACAAACGTTTCAATCAATGTTCTTGCACATTTTGTACTGATATGGTTTTGCTTTCAAGTGTAAACACATCAGGCATTTTGGTACTGTATGTGCATGTTAACTCATTTAAAGGCTGGGATAGACAGGACGGTAATAGAGGCCTGTTATGACCTCGCATATCGGTGCACCTGAACAAACTTTTCAATCAGCATTTTTTATATCCTATTGTATAGATATGATTTGCATTAAAGTGTATTACACATTAGTTTGTATTGGTATTGGTACTGTATGTGTGTATGTAAACTCAGTTGCATGGTTGCCAGGGTGGGATGGAAAGGTTAGAGCATAGAGGCCCATCCTTACCATGCACCTGAACAGATGTTTCATTTAATGTTTTTATATCAAATTGTAAAGGTATTATTTTGCATTAAAGTGTCAACACATCAGGCATATAATGTGCATGTAAGCTTATTTGCATTGTTATTAATGGCCAGGGAGGGATGGGAAAGGTTAGAGACTTGAGGCCCCATTCTGACCTTATATTTGTTATCAGTGCACATGAACAGATCTTTTAATTAGCGTTATGTTGAACCAAATTACATTAAACATGCAACACACAGTCACCTTTAAATGTCAACATACCATGCACATTAATGACTAATATACAGATAGCAACTAATTTTCTCATATCCTTTAACGATTTTATCTGTTAGAGGATATATACAATGTATGTTTAAAACACAGTTGTGTACTGTGTTTTGCTTTAGAATTTGAACACACCATGGACATTGATGTACAAAAACATTCATGTCTTAAGCTGCGGATGCATAGTTAACACAGCGAAGGTCAGAGGCCCTATCCTGTTCTTGCATTTGATACAAATGCACTATGCACCTAAAAATGTCTACATGCCTTCTTTCATGGAATCTTCATTAACATATTTATACATTGATGATTGTATCATGCAAGTATAACTACATTTGTACAATAACAGAATAACAAGAGTAGTAATTCAAACATTTCGGTTTCTGGTGAGCCTCAACTTGACCTCAGGTATGATTCATCCAGTCCGCCTTTCATTCTAGAGTTTGAAAACAAAACATTAAAAAAGTCAAATTTACAAGTACGAATAATTTAGTTGTTATCTGTAGTTGCTCTAAAATGATAGGATAATGACACCTAGTTTTATTTTTCATGATAGAAGAGTAAAGATGCATCTAGTATTGCTGAGGGCTACATTTACATGTACCTATTAAGGACCCTGTTGGAACTTGGAAGTGACAAAAATTAAATATGGTAGATGAATTAGGTATCAACACTCAACAGTAAGCTAGTTATTTATTAAAGCATACATGTAGATTAAATTATCTTCAATTATATGTTATTTTAGTGTCTGTCAGAGGAGTAACTGCTCTCTGAAAACTAAAGGTTTGAAAATTGGAATTTATCGATACAAAAAACTAGCGATCAACTTGATAACATCTGAATCATCTTTTGTGGAGTACATGTATATACCCATATTGACAATAACTTTGCAGTAATTAAGCACGGGTCATTGCTTCAGCTATGTTTTGCAAGCCGTAACTGCGGCAAATTCTACCCCTGTTGACCAGTAATTGGGACTTTGGAGTGGTGTGGAAAATTAGGTTTTGATTTGCTTTTGGGCAATACTGAAGGGGGAAATATTTTGTATCTGTTATATTTGTAATTTTGTATCCTAAGTTCATTCAGCTTTCCATACATGTAATTGGTCAGACAGGGTCTTTAAGTCAATGCATTGTCAAACTCAAATCCAGCTGATTAAAACTCACCTGCTTCCTGTCTGAGCCTCAGACTGCACCTGAACAATCCACTCTAATCTCATTCAATCCTCTATAGAAAACGTACAGCCTGTTCACACTAGAGGATATTAATGTGAAAGTTGTGTGAAAAAGCGTAAGATTGCATAGTGAAAGAGGCAAGCACACTGGATAGCAACATCAGATTATATAGAAACGGTATATTGTTGAGGGCTACGTACATGTATCTTAAAATCAGTGCATTGTCTGAAATTCAGACTGCATCTGAACAATCCACTGTAACCTCATTCAATCCTCTATGGAAAACTCAAAGCCTGTTTACTCGAGATATTCATATGAAATTTGTGTGAAGAAACGTAATTTTGCACAGTGAAAGAGGCAAGCACACTGGATAGCAACATCAAATTATATATATTGTTGAGGGCTAAGTACATGTATCTTAAAATCATTGCATTGTCTGAACGCAGCTGAACAATCCACTTTAATCTCATTCAATTCTCTATGGAAAACGTAAAGCCTGTTCACACCAGAGTATATTCATATGAAATTGTGTGAAGAAACGTAATATTGCATAGTGAGAGGGGCAAGCTCGCTGGATAGCAAGATCAGAAAAAGAAACGTTGACTGTGTATTAAGGAAAATATACGTTTGGAAGAGGTCGTGTAGGGCTTACATGTATTAAGGCCTACATTATGTAGGCAGCTTTATAATGTGTACTGTTTGTACATGAACATTATCTTGGTGATACCAGTAATTGACATTTTAGAATGTGATATTTCAAAGATATTTCTTTTTATCCTTTCTTTTTCTCTTTTTCAGACTTTGAAGCTAAACACAGAAGCCCGGCAGGATGATGCTGAGGTTCATAAACATAAACAACAACATTCTGTAAGTACATCATGTTGATTATAAGTTTAATAGCAACAGTTTTGTAAACTTTACTTTTGTGTCGAAAGCTACCATAATGTTCTAACTATTAATACATCATATTAGGCCTGAGTAATGTTTATCCTTTAAACCAGGGGCCCAATAGACCGGTCTACTATTAATATATTACTCAAATGTATGGATGTTTCTTTCCTGGGGACCAAGCAACAAGGTAATCCATTAACCTGTTATTAATGAATGAACCACTTTACTTGGAATCCAGTCTGCATACTTTACTTGTTGCTATGTTTGGCAAGCCTTGGGCAAGCTTATGGGTTGTCGAGAACAACCTTTTTATAAACAGTCCGATGCACTGATCTCTACATGAGAGACAACAGTGTTGATGAAATTTCACCTAGTGTGAACAATTTAAATTCTAGCCATTTTTTTTTTTTTTTTTTACCTGCACAAGCCAAGTTGTAGGTACCGGTATGTACAGTACATATTCAAATAATGCAAAACCATTACTATGTACTCGCACATCCATAAATTTATCGGCTCCAACAGTTTTCGGCAATAGGGCCCCAAAAACAGAAAACTATCATGACTCAGATCCAATTTGGTGCACTTATTGTTGGTAACGCAATGGAAACACTTCTACACAAAAGCAGAGTTTATTGGAAAGTGAATCTGTACATATATGTACAGTATGCTAATTTGTTCACAATTGTCACTGAACATTTCTGTGCCTCAACCGCCAACTGCAATTTCAATCCATATTAGATACATTTGGCATTGTATTCTTTCAAACAAAAGAGAACAATTAGTCAAATTATTCTAAATGTGAATGCCGAACCAGACGCTAAGGTGTTACGTTGTTAACTTGCCCCAGCAGCTGTCCGGTTTAAATCGAGCTTGGACAATAGAGGATGAATGTGTGCCAATTATTGGGGCTACATGTCCATTTTGATACTAAGGCATCTGGCATGTAATTTATGTACAGTATGTGAGGAGGGTTCATGTACAATTGTACATGTATTAAATATGATACAGTTTGCGTAGAAATATGTCGTGTATTGTTTTGTAATTCGGTAGAAAATGGCCCTGATGGATTTTAAGGAAGATGCCAGTTTTAAGATTTTAGTCTAGTATATGAGCTGATTATGTTTTTCAATTACTCTCTTGCTCATTTTAAAGGGCATGTTTATTATGTTCATGTAAACCCAACTTTTTACATGCATGGGCAGTATTTTCTTCTCCTTTTTTCCCCATCACAATGTAATTGTAAAAGCCTCAAAATTGGTTTCATATATAACATTTCTTTGGTGTATATATACACATACATATGTACGTCAGGGCGCGACAAACCCGCTTGCCCGACGTCCCGGGGCAACCAAATTGAGCCGTCGGGCAAGTAAATCAAATTATCACTTGCCCGATTCGGGCAAGTGATACTTTTACAGTAATTTCCTAGTGTCCAAGAACTCTACCATTCACCCGTCAACTTCTTACCCGTCGTCAAAATCCAGAAGCAAAAAAGTGATCGTTCCGATTTCGAAAAAACTTCACAGACAGCTAGCCAGCTCAGCTAGCTCAGCGCTCATGCAACAGTGACACTTCAAGCCATGAATGCCGCTCCGCCTCCACGCACGGCCGGCCGTGAGCTAGCTAGAGACAGCTAGCGCGATCGTACCAGCTGCGAGCTTATTCGCGCTCTCTCTCTCTAGCTCTGCAGGCCGCACCGACAGGCCTTTGCTATTCTCTGATTGCCGATTGGTTGAATCACGCCAAATATGACGTCATTATTCTAGGGAAATGAACACGTGCGAATCGGAATGGAATAAACAACAGGGATTTTCTAGTAAGTACAAAAAGTCAAATGTTTGATATTTATTCATAATGACTGTTAATGATTGTGAACATATTATTTAAAACTCGCTGCTCATATAAATCAGATGAATGTTTTTGTCTCGTTTTCAATTTATTACTGCGGTCTCAAGATCCGACCGAGCGAGTCATTTTGATAATAGTATCGAGACCCCCAGAATATAAGCCGTTGTTGTTTTGTTTTCATGGTTTTAGCGACGTTGTTTAGTCTAGTTTTCGCATACTTATCCGAGATTTATCGTAAAATATCTTCAATATTATTATTTAGTAAGAATTTACAAATTTTGGCATGATATTTATAGCAGTGAATGATGAAATAAAAATGTCCGTACTTTATTTAAAATAGTTGATTACCCATTATTTACATGACGTTTCTTGATGGAAGAGTTACGAGATAATAAATGCTTTAACCTCGAGTCCTTTTTCGCTTTAAAGTTTTGGGCAAGTGGAAATATTGTTTGGGCAAGTAAATTGAAAACCCACTTGCCCGATAGGGCAAGTGGTGAAAAAAATTCTTGTAGCACCCTGTACGTGTGTGTGTGTGCCTGTGTCTGTGTGTGAACTTTATCCCAATGTAACGATGCTCACTTTTTTGAAAGAAATTCTTACGTTATAAGACCCTTCAGAAAATTTGACCCCATGATGACGCGTAATTTGGAGGGGTGCGGAAAATGAGGTGTTAATTTGGATTTATTCAATAATGGGTAAATACTTGTTATTCCTTTATATTTGTATTCTACATTCATTCAGTTTTCCATTAATATCAAGTTATATTTTCATCAGATAGGGTCTTTAACCTTCATCCAAACTGATGAACCATTGCCCTGTATTTTCCCGTACAGCAGCGGCATCGCCACCGACATCGAGAGGACAATCGGCACGCCCGCCATCACCACCACCACCATCAGCAGCAGCAGGGTCCACCAAGGGGGCTTCCCCATGACAATGAGAGGATGGAGGGTGATGGACAGGCGGAGCTGATCGGTCAGCCTGTAAGACAACGAAGGGCGTCAGACCAGGTGGAGAGGTACGTAATAATAACAATAGTCACATCTGTGTAGCGTTCAATAGGCCTGTCTTCATCAGCTTGAGTTTGCCAAATAAACCGCTGTCTTAAAGATAAGGTTGAGTTCTGGGAAGAGGTGAAAAATAATTTGTGAGTGTTATCATTGTATTATGCAAGTGTGGAAGAACATTAGATATAACATGTTCCCTGAAAAGCATGGCTCTTCAAATGCCTTAATATTCTAAATACGGCATGTAACATCATAAAAATCGGGACAGATTTTTTCGCCACGTGTTGGTTTAGTCCCATATACATCTTCCTGTGTACAGTGTTTGTGACTTTACCAAGACTGGGCCAAATTTCAGAACCTTGCAATACAAATTAATACTTATTTGCTAGATGATCAATCTTTTCTGATCAATTCCACAAGGTTTCTTTCACAATGCAATCGCTTCACCAGGACTCAACCTTCTCTTTAACTATCCTGATCGCAAATTAACCATTAAAGTTGCGCACTTCATCAGTCCCCAGTTGCAATTAGCGGGATATTTGGTCCAACAAATATCCAGAGAAATGTTGGTCTTGTTTCCAAAATATTTTGGAAACAAGACCAACTAAGCTAATTTGAGCCTGTCTGAGCTAGTTTGTGATGAGTGTATCGGTCTGGTTAAAACGCAATTTTGAGCTTCGGGATAATATCCCAAGTCTGAATATTGCGGGTTAATCGGCAAACTCGAGCTGATGAAGCAGGCCTATAGTGGTCTTATCAGATCATCTTATTTCCCAACTAGTCTTACAATACAAGTCAGGTTGACAGACTGGGCTGCTATTGAGTGGGGTACTTCATACATTGACCTGATCTATATGCAAGTTCCCAGATGAAGTGCCCTTTGACCTTTGTCACCATTTTTTTTTATTAGACCCCTGGGATATTTATAGTGCGCAGATAATAGACGCAACAGGTGTAAGACAGGTTTGAAATTAGGCTTAATGGATAATTCTCTTTAATTTGATGTAAAGATGTTCGGAAAGTGAAATTAGATTCATTGCTTATCCACATGACCATTAGACAAATTTGAAAATCAGACAAAGTTTGACTAGACAAATCTCAGGGATGACACGCATTTCTCACACTGATATTCTTTATTTGTAAAATCCCTTTGTTTCAATACATCATATGACACTGATCTTGTCTCCCTCTATCTAGATCCAGATTCAACGAACTTGCCACGGCCCACAGCATGGGCTACCATCATCAAGGGGTCATGCACGGGTCACCTAGAGGTCAAAGGTCACAGCGTTATGTCCAGGAGATGCCCGGGATGCCAATACCTCCCAACATGCAACAGCAGCCACAGTACCCCTTGCCACAGGTGAGGAAAAAGTTTGTTCACCTTTCAAAATTTGTAAACATGTTGTTGACAACTTCAGCGTGCACAGTCTTCTTGTCATCGCATTGAGGACTGGCGTGTGCTTCGGCAACTATTGTTCTGGGCTTTTATTTCCGAGATATAGCAGGGTTTAAAGAAGGGGGTCCGGATTACAATTTTAAGATTTTCTTCTGATACAAATCTTCTCTTTTATGTCAGGTACCTTACGCACACCAAGGTAGAATGCGATCTGACAGTGAACCGATGGACATATCCAAAGTCCGGGGCGACATGCAGGGACAACCGCCCAATTTCAGTCGCTACCCGACTCACGGTGGTCGCGGAGGATATGAACTCGGTTCGGTTGGCAGGTCAGCGGGTCACGCTATTCAAGAGGTCATGCAAAGAGAAGGATCTGGAGGGAACCTTTCGCAGGGCTCTGATCATTCGCAGGAGCGCCATCGTCCGGACAGTCGGGCGTCGCAGTCGTCGCATCAGTCGACGGAAGGCTATGGACCGCAGCGGAGGCGGTCGCTGGAGATGCAGGGACAACACGTCCACGAGCGTTCAGACAGTCAGGTGTCTACGGTGAGTCAGGGCGAGGAGCGGCATCGAACAGCGCCCTCACCCCGCAGCAAAAAGAAGAAACAGATGCCGAAGATGGGCGTGACGGCGGCCATGCAAAGAACTTTTGGCGGGCCTACGAGTCCCAACGCGAACCTGCCCCATTCGCAGTCGGGGGAACGTCTGCAGCATTTCTTTGGACAGCCGCCGCGCAACCAACTTCCGCCTCAAATTCAAACCCAACCTCCAAACACGCAGGGGTTCATCGGACCCGGCTACCACCGAAACGAGCAGGAGAGTCCTCGATTAGCCAGTCCCATGGACTCCTCTTTCTCACCTCCAGGTTCCAACAATTTCAATCGCACGGCCACTCCGGATTCCTCGTCGAGTTTGGACTCCTCCTCTCAATACCCCAGCACCAAAGACCGCCATCTCGTGCCCAGCTACGGTGCAGGATTCCCCGACCAGCGTGGGGAACACATTGTTCATAAACATTCAGATAGCCAGCTTTCGCAGAACTCCCAGACCTCCATTTCGTCCCATCATTCGGACTCCTCCAACCGGCCGGTAACGTCCGATTCACAACGGTCCCAGTCCTCCGAAGACCTCAACGGTCCTACCTACGTTCACGTTGGTCCACCTTCGCAGGAGGACCACATTCTCTCTCACAGACACTCGCCGGCCATGCAAGCCCCGAACAATAACCTACCGCCCCAACTCTCGACGGACACCGACGAGATCATGCCATCGGATCCTATCTACGCAAACCTCGAGTTCATCGCGCAGCGCGAGAAGGAGGACGAGCAGCGCATGGTCCTGCGCGAGATGGATCGGTTGAGCGGGGCCCAGGATATCGAGATTAAGATCCACCGTAATCACTCCGGATCGCCCATGGGGCGGATTAACGGGGAACATGAGAACAGGAGCTATAGTCTTGAAGCTTTGGACCAACACGAACAACTTGCCAAGGCGGGCATTCGACTCAATAAGAGTTTTGACTCAGAAGGTATGTAATTACTAGATAATTTGTAAAGTTTAGCTATTAATTCATGTACTTCTTTTAAAACTAAGATATCTTTTGCTACATTGTTATTACAGTGTTTACTCTAACTTTTACCATGAGGTCCTGATTTAAATTTTCTGTTCTACGTGGATGGGCTCCTGTTTGAAGTTTGAATCATCTGGGGGCGGGGGGGTTCACAATGCCTTTTTTCAATGACAAATGACAAAAATCAGTGACAAATCTGCTGATAACCAGTCAGAAGCAAAGATTTCAGTAGCTTATATTAAACACAAATTATCATTTGTCACTGATGACAAGTTTTGTGAAACGCCCCCCAGGTCCTTAGTTGTTAGCAAGCAGCCTTGGTTGGAAACATTACTTCGTTTAAAGGCCCTATTTATAAAAAAATGACTGTTGAATATGAACCAATGATTTACTTATTTATGTTTAGTGTGTTACATGTCTACACACAGATACTGTTGTACACTGATTTATATGTATATTATCAGGGATGCCAGTTTTCAGGCAAAAGCCTGAATTCTTGCCCTGGCAATTTATTTTCATGCCATATTTTAGTGTTTTTTTGTGTACAAAATAGCTCATTGTAGGTGATTTTCAGGCTCTCTGATCAATTCTAACTGGCATCCCTGTGTTGTACACTGCTTTATATTGTTATTATACATGATGAAAACACATACGCTGTGAATGTTCAATAACACCACTCCCCCCCACAGAGAGTTCATCCCGCGATGCGTCCGTCACCCACGAGAGCAGCCCCATGAACACGCCCGGGTCTCCGCCCTCCCCCACGTCTCACGACACCCACTCCATGGAGAGCCCCCTGACGGAGACGGTCCACGCCTCCCTGCAGCGCGGGGGGCACCACCGTGGGAGCACGACCTCCTCCACCAGCGGTGTCAACATGATCCAGACCAGCGTCTTCGAACGCAGCATCTCCGTGCAGGACCAACGCCCCATCTCCATGGTAATTTGCGAGGCCACGCCCCCAGTGGTGGTGTCGGAAGAGTGGAAGGTGGGTGGGTGTGGACACGCCCTCTTATCAAGATTATCAAGCTTTCATGAGCCATGCTCTTTTTTTGGCTCTCCCGCTCACTCTCTGAAAATGCACCCCCATTCTCGCTCCCCTTTCTGCGAGTGCTGCTAAAATTTCAATCTGCTTCAATTTTGTATCTAATTTTATTTTAAATACGTGATGAAATCGTAAAGAAGTCATTAGGATTCAATTTATAAACCCATAGAAGCTCTTCATTTGCTCTCTCACTTTGCAGTTTGCTGTGTCTCTTCCATAATATACACACATACCTCCCTTTTATTGTGATTTCAGAAAATTTCACAATATATGAATTTGGCATAACTGATAATTACAAAGATATGGTGTTCTTTTGAGTTCCATTGTCAAGGTGTATGTACATGCATACAATCATGCAAATCAAGTCTTTCGTGAATCTTACTTTTTGAAATTGTATATTGATAAGAAAAGAAATTTGCAGAACTTTTGTAATTTTGAAGATATGTTGCTCTGTTTCCCATTACTTCATGCATTCTGAGTAAAACTACTCGCTGTTTTGACAGAAACATAGAAAGAAAGAAAAAAGGAAAAAAAGAGAAACTGAAGAAATAGAAATAAAATCATGGACCAAAAAATAAGAAAAAAGCAGGAAAGAAAGAAAGCAGAGCTGACTCTAACAAAATACCTTAATGTTTGAAAAAAAGACCCGAATATGAAAACTAACAAGTATACAAAAAATTGCAAGCTGCACCTAACTGCACCACACCAAAAGAAAGACAAGAATGGCTAAAAATCATCCTTAATAAAAATGAAAGCGTGAAATGTTGCCAATGATCATCAAATTGGCAATGTTGACATCCACCTCTCTTCCACTGTTCTTCATGTTGTGTGATTCTAAAATATTTACATTTAGTCTGTTCAAGTGTACAGTAAAAAGCCCTGTCATTGATGTCTGTTTGTCATGTGTACATAATGATTCATGTGTGATTGTTTATTCGCTCCTTTGTTTGTTTATTATTCTTCAATTTAATGTCTATTTGATATTTTATTGAGTAAAGTACTGTATGTTTATATAATATACAACGTAGTGAAGGTGTTGATAATGTGGAAGTGGTTGTGTATAATACACACAATTTATTTATTGTGGAAAATGCAGCACCTAACACTTATCATTGCATATTTATCCACTGCATTCCACCATTGTTATTATGCTCCCCCATTTTAATCTGACCCCTCCCCCTCTTGCTGTATGTTAAGTTAATATCACTGTCAAAGTATCCATCTCTCTCCTGTATTTTCTATGTTTTACATGAGTATAATAAAATCATGCAACTCTTGACCCCACAGATTCATAACACTTTTAGTATGTATCTTCAGTTTCCTGTAACCCTTTATTAATATGCCCCACCCCTGTTAATCTACCCCCTGTTAATCTGCCCTGCCCTCTTTGTGTAATTACATAAGTATATCTGTCAACCCTTTCTCCTGTACGTTTTGGGCCCTGTTTCATAAAACTTGTTATCAATAACAAATGCTAAATTTCTATGACAAATTCGCTCTCGGCCTATCAAATGCCACCATTTCAGTAGTTTATAACAGTTATTGCAATATATTGATTACAGTATTTATGAAACAGGGCCTATTTTGGGTATGTTCATTTCACCTACATGTATATTACACTAAATCATTAACCTACAGTTTTCATAACAGTTGCTATAGTACTCATCCTTATCTATTTCAATCACTGTACAGCTCAGGCGAGACCCTTCATCCATCAGGCTATGCTCGATCGAGCTTGAAATTCTGACGTCTCTATCAGTATTTCTTGCACCTTATGGTCATGTCTTCTTCTTGTCTATCTCTCCTTCACCTCCTGTTTCTACCTCTACCTCCTCCTCCTCCTCTCCCTCCTCCTCTTCTTATTAGTTCTTGTTCTTCTTTTTTTTTTTTTTTTCTTTTCTTTTTTTCTTCTTCCTCCTCCTTTTCATTCTCATTCTTGTTCCCCTTTTCTTCACTTCCTCCTCCTTTTCCCTTTTCTCCTTTCTCCTTCTTCTATTCTTCTTCTTCTTCTTCTTCTTCTTCTTCTTCTTTTTCTCCTTCTTCCTCTTCTCTACTTCTCCTTCTTCCTCTTCTCTACTTCTCCTTCTGTACGTTCTCATTTCTCTCTACTTTGTTATATTCATATTTAATAATGTTTTTTTAATTTGTTGTTCTGAATCGTTTTCAAGCCTCATAACTGTTAAGGCTCTCGTATTTTGCGCTCTTTATTTGTATTCTTTGTTAACTCCGTCCTGCCTTTATTGTCCCGTATTGGTACGAGTACCCTGTATACATACACACATGTAGATTGATTCCCAGTCCTCTGAATCCCTATCTATCCATGGTTCATGATTAATCGCTCCTGTGGCAATACCCTTAACCATGTAACCACACTGGAAATAGCTAAACCACAATCTCCCTTGACAATGGAGGAGCAAATGCCCTCCGCCATTTTTACAATCCTATACAACTCAAAAAACACACCCATCCATTCATCATCCTGCCAGCCAGTGCCTCACCTCTGTTCGCACGAGAAGAAATGTACATTCACATCTCATATAAAGAAACGTCATATAAGGGCATGTTCGTGCTATCTTGTCCCATACGTTACGGACCTTATCGAATAATAGCACATTTAAGAGTCTAGATGCAACCAGATATGACATGAAATGACGTAGTCAAGGCTCAAAATGCACGGGGGCGATGGGTGATTCGCCCCCGTGAGCTATGTAATTTTGTACAGAGGGAGGAAATCTGACCATTAGCTGCAGGTTATAACTTAACTTTTAAGAGGGAAGTAGTGTCGACTATTAATGATAACGATGAAAGAGCAAAGAATTTAAGAGTATCATGGGTACCACTTCGATAAAAATTTGTATTGAAAAAGAGCCCCCGTGAGAAGGCTCACAGGGGCTCTTTTTTGGGGGTGAAGAGCCCCTGTGGACAATAAAATTAACTTGATCCCTGGACATAGTTGATGTTAATTTATGCTAAGAACTACAATCCGCAGAAATGTACATGTAACTGTAAGGGACCTCAAATCATAATCGTTTAACAAGTGGATCAAATAATTAGGAAAATGACATTTTCATTGTCAACTGTTTTTCAGCTTCCTTTATTGTTGATGAACTACATGTAAATTGCCAAATTTCCTTGTACAATGAAATTTGCCAGTGTGAGCAGGGAAGTGGAGAGCAGAACTAATATCTCAGACTCGACCGCATCCGCATCCTTTCTGCGCACTGCCATTTGTACAATCACAGACATGCTATACTGTTCTTCGACCATCTTGTATGATCATCAAGTCGGTTAATCTCTTCGCCATCCCCCTTAGCTGTAACAAGTTAATGTGCTGTCGCATACCTATATTGCTTGTAGGGCTCTATGTCGTAGGCTTTCATCAGACTTGGATAGAAATTGATTTTGGGGATCCTGATCCAACATTGATCAGGGATCAATTTCAGTAGCTTATAACAAAAACTGTCATTTGTCACTGATGATAAGTTTTGTGAAACACGCTCCAGGGCTTTACATAAGGCTGAAGATTGGGTTGTGATATGTTTTTAGGTTAGGGAATAGGCTAGGGTTAGGCCAGGTTGTGACAAGCTATTAAAGGTGCCATTGCATACCTAAATCGCATGTAATGATCTGTGATGTAGACTTTTCTCAGACAGGCTGGAAATTGGTTTGGGAATGATCCGCTATTGGTTCTTGGCTTATCATGAAAGATACATGTATAGGACTAAGGATCTTTTTGAAGTCCAACAAATGAAGAAAGTTGTATGGAAAATCTGTAACTTAATGCGTTTTAGAGGACAATTTCAATATACCTATAGCTATTATACCTATAGCTATTTAATAGGCAGTTTATTAGTTTGTTCAAAACTCATAACTTAAAATGGTAATGCTAGCAACAAAAAAACAGCTAGGAAAAATATTTAAAAGGAAAACAAGAAGGGAGTCTGGAGCCTGCAGATGTAAATATTTCCAAAATTATAGCCCACCCCTCAAAAGAAAAATGAAAACAAGAAAAATATTAGGGAATATTATGCAAAGTTGATGGTAGAGATGTAAAATATATCTGAGAAGATTTGAATGAAGACTAGTCAGATTGAGATGGAGAAAAAGTCTCCAGCGAATTCCAATAAAGCTGAATTACGTTATGATAGCTCGCTGCTGCAATACTAGACGCACCACTTCCTATGAGGGTAGGGAAGACCATCTGGCAGGACCATCACAAACCCTGATCTAGATACCATCCCGCCCTTTACCCATCAAATACACATCGTAGGAGATGGAGGGACGTCTATGCGTGGGTTGTATGGCACATAGGTAAACGGTTCACTCCCCTACTTCCTAGAATCGCCTCTTTTGGAAGAAACGTCAGTTCTAGGTTATTTTCCTTTTCTTACTTTCCTTTTTCTTGTACATAAGATGAAATGAGGCAGTGTTTTGGGTTCCCATTCTACAGAAGAATATCCTGTGAACTTGAGGGGCATCTATGCATGGATAGTGTAGCACATAGGTCATTTTCCTTTTCTTGTTTTCCTTTTCCTTATCCAGTGTAGATGAAATAAGGCAGTGCTAAGGGTTTCCATTTATAGAAGAATGTTGAATGAACTTGAGGGACATCTATTTGTGGGTTGTGTACATTGTAGCACATAGGTAAACAGTTCACTCCCCTTCTTTCATAGAATCGCCTCTTGGGGAAGAAACGTCAGTTCTAGGTTATTTTTCTTATACAGTGTGGACGAAATAAGATTATATAATATTCTTCTGTTCGATGGGAACCCAAAACACTGCCTTATTTCATCTACACTGTATAAGAGAAAGTAAAATATCGTAGATCTGACGTTTCTTCTGAAACAGGCGATTTAGGAAGAAGGGAAGTGAACTGTTTAAATGTGCCACACTAACTATGCATAGATGTCTCTCAAGTTCATACAATATTCTTCTGTAGAATGGGAACCCAAAACACTGCCTTATTTCATCTACACTGTTTAAGAAAAACACTGCCGTATTTCAGGAGTAGGAGAACGATATGAAGAAAAGGGAGTATATACCTGTAGAAGAAGAACTTGAATGAAGTACTTTAATGAACTTGAAGTTTAGTAGGGGGAATAAGGCATAATATACATGTACATGTATGCCTCAGCCAGAACTGATGCTGCTTCAACACAAACTTATCCAAAGGTTTTCTATACAAGTAAAGATAATAATGCCACAATGACATTCCGTTGAATTCATAAAAATGAGGTTATTCTAAAAAAGATGAGTCACCCTTTAAAAATACACGTACAACACCCACACATGAATGTACCCCAACTTCCATACAACATTCTTCTGTACAATACTGAATAGGAAGATAGGGACCCCCTAATAACTCCTTATTCCATTGTATAAGACAAAAATACCCAGAATTGACATTTCTGTTCAAATAGGATATTCTAAAGGGAAGTTTGCCATTATGTTCTTTACTATCAATACACAGATGGCCTTCTATCTTGTACAATATTCTTCTGTTGAATAGGAAGCTCAATATATGCTTCTTTCATTTATCCAATAATAATAGTTCAAGTTTTATTTCCACATCGGATTTTAAAAAAACGCAAGTACAATTTATATGCATAAACAATAACAAACATTAAAAATGTCTTCAATTTATATCATAATGTGGTGAGAAAAACAGAGGCCAATGGCGTATGAAGATTATTCCCAAATAATTAAAGAAATAACCTGCTCCTTCCCCTCCCCCCCCCCCTCCTTTTTAGAATTCATCTTTTAACACACATAGTAACGTGTGGATAATAACATTGTGTTGCAATTTGTGATTAATGCATTCATGATTTAAAAACTAAACCATTGATCACTCCATGTGTACTGTCACAATGCAAATATATATGTTCAGTAACTTCAGTTTCAGTTGTGAATGACTATAATTTATATGTACATACATCACCATGCACTTTTGGCTTATATTTGTACTATCCTATCATTGAATTTTGCAATTGGTAATTCATAGATCATTGTTAACTTAATGGCAGGTATGGATATAAAATATAATGTTCCTATGTTTGTATGAGAGCTAAAATGGATTTAATTACATGTATTATATATGAACAATGTCAAACTAATTAATTTTTCAGTTTCAGTGTTGAATAGAGTTAATTGATTTTCATCAAAAAGACATCAAAGGCACATACTGTACTTGTAAATGTACACACAATCAGTCTATATTTAAGTTTTGTTTTGTTTTGTTTTGTATGTTTCTATTTGTTTTAGTACCATTACCATGTAAATTTCACTTCAATTGCTTTGTTCAAATTCTTCATTATATTGTTTCGAAGGAGATACCAGGTTTAGCGTGTATCCATTGTGTTAACTGGAGCAATGTTTAGTGTAAACAGGGCCCCAATGTAATGTGCACATGCATGTATAACCCTGTTTTCACAACAGCTAAAAACAGGAACAGTTCCACACTGCCTCAAGAACAGCCGGTCTCATTGCCATGACATATGGAGGGAATAATAATTTTATAGAATTGATACGTGTAAACAGGGCATCTCCATATTGTATGCAAAAATTTTACTTTTTATAACCCTGTTTTCACAATAGCAAAAGACAGGAACGTTTCCGCAGGACCTCAAGAAAAGCCTGTCTCCCTCATTGCCATGACACATGAGGGAACAACAACAATTGTATAGAATTGATACATATAAACAGGGCATCTCCATATTGTATGCAGACATTTTACTTTGTATAATCCTGTTTTCACAATAGCAAAAGACAGGAACTGTTCCGCACGGCCTCAAGAATAGTCCGTCTCTCATTGCCATCACACGAGGAGGGAACAAGAAAGGGATTCTGCCCGGAGAGAACGATCTAGAGAACGTTGCCCCAGACAATCTGAACAGACACAAGAAAGGGCTGTTTAGAAAGAAGATCTCACTCTCAAATATGCTGTCGTGGACAAAGGTAAGATGGAACAAGATCTGGGGGTTGTTTCACAAGATTTTAAGTCAAACTTAACTCTAAGTTGAACTTAAAATTATGGAGAGCCATTTGTAGCCTTAAAATAAAATATATTCAAAAGCAAAAATTCAAGTATTTTCAACTTTTCATGAATTCCACATCAAGAACATTAAATCTCCTTGATGATAGAAAGTATGAACGATTTGAATCAACATTTTATGTCTTTTGAAATACTGTTTACAAAATATATTCAAAGATGCTAACGGCTTTTCATAATCATTAAGTCCAACTTAGAGATAAGTTTAACTTAGGATCTTTGTGAAACACCCCCTGATTTGATTAGATCTAGAAAAAGTTGCCCCAGAGATTCTTAAAAGACACAAGAAAGGGTTGTTTAGAAAGAAGAGTATTGACTTAGTTTCAAACTTGGGACCTCCTGGTCATGAGACCACTGCTCTACCTCTGAGCCACTACCCCTGGTATGGAAGATTCAATAAAAACGCAAGGATAAAGATTAAGAAGAAGGAAACAGAGAAGCGGTAGTCTAAGTCACAGGGGGCTACCTAGCAAGGACACTGACAGTAAGATTCAATGCCTCAGTCACACTGCCGAAACGACGTCACACCAAATCCAAACCGACCAAGTTTGGGCCATTTGTGGTATTAACACGATTATGTGTTTGGGCTGTTGTCAGTCTGAACTTGGTCTCGTTGGTGTGACTGACTCTACACTGAATTCAAACCGACCATTCTTTGGTTTTTCGTGGTAATGCAATTGTTTGTTCCGTCTGTCGTCGGTCTGACGTCTGGTGTCGGTCTGACGTCTGTCTGGTGTCGGTCTGGCCCCCATTTCACAAAACTTATTACCAATTAACAATAATCAATTTCTATGTCAAACTTCCTCTTAGCCAATCAAATGCCAGGATTTCAGTAGCTGGTAACAGTTATTGTAACTTGTTATTGATAACGAGTTTCATGAAACAGGGCCCAGGTGTCGGACTCGTTGGTGTGACTGAAGCATAACGATCCTTACATCGGTACTCACTAATTGAACGAAATTAGAAGGAAACGTGTGACTTGGTAAAAGGGTGAATTTTTTTCATTCTAAAGGTCATGTGGCTTTAATTACTGCAGATAGGTTAATCAATTGCATCCAATTTATATTGGGGGTTCTGCCAAAAGCGAGTAGGGGCACCCTGGATTGTGGTTGGCAGGGAGGAAGTTATGGCTTAGTAAGTTCTGCGATGATGCCAAATGCTCTCAGATACATGTGAGCATTTCATTTATAGCAACCTTGCTCGACCCAGGTCTGAAGAATTTGTGAGGCTGTAGGAATAATAGAAAGTTTCACTGATGGCCAGAATATGACATTTTGAAAGAATCAGGAGGTGTGAAGGGAAGGTCTGAGAGAGGGTGTTGAACCCGAGAGGGTTGCCCTTGGAGACGGGGTGATCATGATGTAACAGAAACAGAAAGCTATTATCATTTTCTTTCATTTGTTGTCATCTAATTTAATAAGGAATAGAAGGAAATAAGATACCAGGGGGGTGTTTCACAAAGATCCTAAGTAGAACTTAACACTAAGTTGGACTTAAAAGTTATGGACAGCCATTGGAGCCTTAAAACGAAATATATACAAAAGCAGAAAGTCAAGTATTTTAGACTTTTTATAAATTCCACATCCAGAACATGAACTCTCCTTGATGATAGAAAATATGAATGATTTGAATCAACATTTTATGCCTTTCAAAATCACTTTTACAAAATATTTTCAAAGATGCTAATGGCTTTCCATAATTTTTAAGTCCAACTTAGAGATAAGTTCAACTTAGAATCTTTGTGAAACACCCCCCAGAATTACAGAATTACACAACAGAGGTGTGTGATGATGTTCTCCCTGTCTCTTCATGGCAAACACTCAATTATGTAGCATTAGGGACTTTTAGATTTACACGACAAGAATGTGGACCGCCACGTGCGACATCCTTTTAAGGTATTGTGACGTCCTTTTAAGGCACTGCCGGGCACGGCCCAGTGCCTTAACACAATGTCACACCGGCAGTCCACGCTCTCGTCGTGTAAATCTAAACGTCCCTATTGTTGATATCATGACCTGCAAGGAAAATATGAATTCATGCAATTTTTCCTTTATATGATTGTTCCTTAACTCATTAACTGTTTCCTTTTTTCCTGTATTAGGAGCCAATCATCATCATCATATCATTTTTAATGAAAATACCTGATTTTAGCTATAGGAAACTATAACTAATTTAAAATCTGCTATTAAGTAAATAGAAATATAATTTGATTTGACCTCATTTAGACATGTAATTCAGTGATTTGTTATGAATATTTATGTACTATGATGTTATCCATGATTTTACCTGAATAAAGATTTATTTCAAAAAAAAAAAAAAGCTATTGCAGTGTTCCCTAATAAACTTACGGACTGTTTTCTCATTTCCTGTATAAGGAGCCTGTACATGGCAAACAGTCAATTATGTAGCATTGTTGGAATCATAAACTGCAAGGAAAACATGAATTTCTGCCAATTTTTTTTCATTCTGTGATTGTTCTTGAACTCATTGACTGTTTTCTTATTTCCTGAACTAGGAGCCCATAAGGAAGTCCATGCTGATGACGGAAGATAAGGCAGTCAAAAGGGAAGCACCAGAAGTCTTTAAACATATCCTTTACAACAATCAATGCAGTAGGATCTACTTCGATTACATCTTTTATTGCCAAAATTTAGAGCAATTCCTTCAGTTTCCGTATGGAATATGAGAAGTTAAAGGGACTTGGTAACATTGTTTAGATGAGATAAAATGGTGATATTAAAGGCATACATGCCAACTGTTCAGATTAAAGAGGAACATTCCTCTTTTTGGGAGAAGATAATTATCATTTTAATGCAGGTGTTCCTCTTCCTGTACAAATTTGTTTGTAGTATTGAATAGGAGAGTTAGGATTGTTCCTCTTTTTTTTGAAAATAGCATAATTTGTACAGATTTCTGATTTTCAAATGTTGGCATGTATGTTAAAGGTAGTGACTTCAATGCTAGATGTACAATTAAAGATAATCCAAAATTTTGACTGAATTTTCAAAAATCTATTTCAAGTTTTTAAACTCATAGTTTATGTAAAGAAGCAGTGTTGGGAGTTTTGTTTTTATCGCAACATTGTGGAGTATATTTATAAAGGAGCTGTGCTTTATAAATTGATCTAATTATTATTATTATTTATTCACCTGAGTGAACATGTATTTCATTTTAAAGTTCCTTGACCTTTAACCTTTCACTGACCCAGTGTTACATGGGTGACCGGGTGATCAAGGGTCACACCAGGGACTATGCCTTGCTGGACCTGGTGGTCAAGGGCTGGTCCATCGTACCTCTACGGGACGAGGTCTACATCCAGGTCTGCCGACAAACCTCAGAGAACTACCAAGAGTAAGTTTAGATTTATTTGAGGTCAAGTAAGGTTGATTCCTTGAATACAGTTTCCTCCCACTCCCTGGAGATACCCACAAGTAATTAATAGACCATTTTGTGTGATGTAATCAAATTTAATGCATAAATCTTTGTTAAGTGCCAGGTTACAAATTGATGCATTCACCTGCCATTAAAGAATATATGGGGCCAGTCACCACAAAATGAGTCCAGTGTCGCATTAGGCTCAATCGTAGTAATAGCGATGTATAGTGTGTATGTACTGAAAATTGACCCACCTACCACATTTAAGATTTTTCCAAAAATCGACTTATTAATGTCTTGTAGTTTATGTCCTCAGAGCTTAGGTCACGAAAATAACTCCTTCTAACATTTTTTGGCAAATAATATAGGCTATGTAATCTGAAATTATCACGAAAATGATGCATTTTTAAAAACTGGTAAATCCCATTGTTTATAAAGTCCAATTAGGTTTCTGTTCATATTTCTGGATATAATTTATCAATTTTAATGTGTGACCCCTAAATTAAAAGCTTACTTAATGTAGATTCATATAATACTTAAAAACAGGAATAAAATTTTTGACCAACTGGACTCATTTCGTGGTGACAGGCCCCATATTTCAATAGTCAGAATTCAAATTGCATCTATGATTACTTATAATGTATTGTATTATCAATATGAAGAGGAATGTTTTTAATAATATTTTTCGGGTCAATTTTTGTTCCATTGCAGGGACAGCCTACGCTCAGGCTGGGAGCTGATGGCTATTCTACTCTACTTCTTCCCTCCCTCTGTATCGTTTCATCCCTACCTAGAGAGCTACATTGTCAAACACCTGGCTGGAGACTTTGATACCAGAAAGGTATGTTCAATTTCAATTTCAATTCCAATTTCAATTTCAATTTTAGTTTTGATTTTGAATCTCAATCTCAAATTTTCTGATTTCACTTTCATTTCCATTTTCAAATTCAAGTCTAATTTTCAATTTCAATTTTAGTTTCATTGTCATTTTGAATTTTCAATCTCAATCTCTAATTTTCCAATTTCATTTTTGTTTCCATTTTTCAAATTCAAGTCTAATTTCAATTTCAAATTTAATTTTCAAATTTCCTATTCCAATTTCATTCAATTTCAATTTTAAGCTCAATTTCCATTTCCATTTCCATTTCAAATTCAAATTCAAATTTTAAATTCAGCGTCAGTTTTTGTATTTCATGAAAGACAAGCATTTTAACTGCATGTTTGCAAGATGCACTAACCCTATACAAATGTTACTAACCCTATCAAATGTAGCTAACCCACAGTGTATAATTGTCCAAAATATTGTTTGACCCCAAAGAATTGTAAATCTTCAATTTTGGCACAAATTTATTAAGTTGGACGGATTTAAACCTGGCTTAATTTAGTCCACTTATTAGAGAGCACCAAATGTGGAGCTCTTTATTCTGTCCAAATTAATGATAATAATAATGATAATCATATCCGAGTATTTTTATTGCGTCAACTCCCTATCTCTAATGTGATTGAGGCACAAAAGGAATTGAGAACATGAAAATACATCAAAATGAGATAACTGTGATGTACCAAAACAAATACCTGTAAACACAATAATCCAGTCAGGAAATGAAAATGAGAGATTGATTTCATGGTGACATTTTGTTTCGTGTTATAAGGCCTGTCTTCATCAGCTCGAGTTTGCCAAATAATCCACTATTTTAACTAACCAGTTAAATTGCGTCTTCATCAGCCCGCATTTACAATTAGCGGGATATTTGGTCGAGAATGTAGCCCAAGAAATCTTGGTCTTGTTTTCAAAATATCCTCCTATTTGGGAAATAGTGGGCTAATTTGCACCCGTCCGAACTAGTTTGTGATGAGTGTATCTGTCTGGTGGAGACGCAATTTTGAGCTTCTGGATAATAAGTTTTTAAACGTCAAGTGACGCCTTGCTGGAATACTCCCCAGGGAGTGGAGAATGCGCACACAGTTTGTGCGGGCAAGCACTGAATCCAATGACGGGGGTAATAGTATATCTGTAAAAAGCGGAATACTATTATTAATAACACGTGTCTGAAAATAGCAGTTTATTTGGCAAACTCAAGCTGATGAAGACAGGTCTTTAGTAAATGTTATGTGAAGAAGGAGGCTGACACCTGGCGTTCCATAAATCAGATATAACAGTTAACTCTGCATAAATCAAAAGTCGCACAAGTCAAATTTTCCCGAAATCAAACCAAATTTTTGACCAAGCTATGCAAAACGTGTGTTATTCACACTTCCTTGTTCGAATTTTGAATGATTCTAACACTTTGTTCGTGTTCATGATACTAACCAATATGACTTTAACATGCAGAATTAACTGTACTTATTTCTGGACGCCAGTCAGTACACCTTTATGCATACCTTGTCTCTCTTTCATGTAGTTTGTGTGTTGCGTTTCTCAGGTGACAGTCAAGGACTACGCTGAGCAGTGCATGAAACGCTTGGACAGGGTGGCACAGTTTGGAGCCCGGAAAGGCAACAAGAAGATCTCTTCAGATGAAATAGCAATCGCTAAGGTAACATCAACAGAATACTTGTGTTTGTATTGAGTTGGGGTGGTTGGGGTGATGGTTTTTTGGGGGGAGGGTCTAGAAACGCTTGGACAGGGTGGCACACTTTGGTGCCAGGAAAGGCAACAAGAAGATCTCATCCAATGAAATAGCAATCGCTATGGTAACATCAAAAGTGTGTTTAGGGTTTTGGTGGGATACCTGTAGAGTGTTGTAGGAAACGATTGAACAGGGCTGCACAGTTTAGAACTAGGAAAGGCTACCTGTTTCATTTTTTGGGGTCTCATTATATGTAGCTAGATGCATATGGATCTGATCTGTTTACCAAGAATGACCTTTAACCCTTACTAGGTTTTGTAAAGTTAAAGCTGACGGTAGTGGTAACAAAAGTCTGTACCCGGTACTTTTTAAGAATATTAGCCTGTTAGGGGTTTGTGATAATAGCGAGTTTTTGCAACCGGCGACACGGCCTTCTACAACGCTAATCTTAGCGGGGGGTCGCACTCAGATCGAAAATTTCTGCGTAGCGTCCAAACCTATGACGGTATTCAGCTATATTAGCGTCGGGAATCGAGCTAGAACGGGGTGGCGAGCTCATTTAAATATCCCATAGTCAGCACTTGCGAAAACCCCCTAATCCCTTGATGCCTGGGGAGGAGAATAGAAGTCGGAGTTAATTAATCTTAATTCTTGAGCTCTTGATGACTAGTTAGTACGTGGGATAATAACATAACTGTCTTGTATTGGTAAGGTTACCATTTTATCTTGCGACGTTGATACATTTAAAGAGAAGGTTGAGTTCTGGGAAGATGCGAAAAGTAATTTGTGAGCATAATCATTATTATGCAAGTGTGGAAGAACATCAGATGACAAATGTTCCCTGAAAAGCATGGCTCTTCAAATGCTTTCAGATTCTACACATGGTATGTTACAACATACAAATCGGGACATATTTTTATGCCACATGTTCGTGTAGGAAAAATTAAAGAAAGGGGCTCTAAGTCACCTTGAATTAGGGGTGCATTTTTATGGATAAAGGAAAAGTAGGCATATCCATCTTTCAGTGTACGTGCTTGTAACTTCACCAAGACTGGGCCAAATTTCTTATCATTTTGATGACTCCTGAACCTTGCAGTACATGTACACACCAATACTTATATGCTAGATCATCAACTTTTTCTGATTGATTCCCCACAGTTTCTTTCGCAATGCAATCGCATCACCAGAACTCAACTTTATCTTTAAGTGTGAAAGTTTTTGACTCTTTTGTTTTTCAGAATTCCATCTTCTTTCCGTCTTTGTTTGGGAACACGCTGGAAGAGGCATTGGAGCTGCAGAAAGATCGCTTCCCAGACTACTCTCTGCCCTGGATTGTGGTCGTCCTGTCTGAGGAGGTTCTGAGGCTGAATGGGCAACGGTGTGAAGGCATCTTTAGGTAGGTGGTGATGATGGTGGTGGTGGTAGTGATGATGATGGTGATGGTGGTGGTGGTGGTGGTAGTAGTGGTGATGATGATGGTGGCTTTGATGGTGTTGTTGATCAAGTATTATAATTTTGATGATGATGATGATGATTGGTGGTTGTGTTAGTATTGATATAGAAGAAGAAGAAGATGATGATAATTATGATTAAGATGATGATGGTTGTGTTAGTATTGATAAAGAAGAAGAAGAAGAAGGTGGTGGTGATGATGATGATGATGTGGATGTGGAGGTCCACAGTTCGATTCCTGCAGGGCACTAATGTCGTTTGGCATTGATCTACATTTGCCACTCTCCACCCAGGTTTTAAATGTGGTATGCTTAGCAATTTAAGCCTAGTAGCTCTTGTTGGAATGCTCCCCAGGGAGTGATGAAAGTGCATACGTTGTCTGCAGGCAAGCCAGAATCCGATGACCGGGGTAATAATGTAAAGCGCTTTATAGAAACCCTGACATTCCTGACGTATTAAGCGCTATATAAGCCAAAATATTATCATTATTATTATTGTCCCCTGATTCTTCATCCATCTTATTGAAACCCTCCATCTTGCTCTTTTCCTCTTAGGGTACCCGGTGACATTGACGAGGTCAACAGTTTGAAGCTCAAGTGTGACCAATGGGTGCACCCAGAGTGCTCCGACCCGCACGTCCCCGCCTCCCTCCTCAAGCAGTGGTATCGTGACCTCTACACGCCCCTCATCCCCGACGAGTTCTACGAGCGGTGCATCGTCATGTGCAACGACAAGGACGGAGCCCTCGAGGTCGTGGAGGACCTCCCGGATCTCAACCGACATGTGCTCTCCCACTTCATCAGGTTCCTGCAGGTATGTACCGGTACTAACCAGATCAGGGCCCCATTTCACAAAACTTGTCATCAGTGACAAATGACAGTTTTTGATATAAGCTACTGAAATCCTTGCTTCTGATTGGTCATCAGCAGATTTGTTACTGATTTGGGTCATTTGTCATTGAAAAAAAGCTTTGTGAAACAGGTCCTTTTTTTGATGTAAAGATCAATATGTTGAGTGCAACCAGTGACTGAAGCAGTATTGAAATACACTGTCTATAAACCCAATCTTACATTGGAATCACTTCAGCCTCTATGTAGAGGTGGTCATTAGCGCCAGAGGTATTTTTGGTGGAACAGTCAAGAGATGGATACCTTTGGTTTAAACAAAACCTTGATGAAAAGAAAAACATATGAAAAATATTTCCAAACTTCAGCCCAAAAGCATTCACTCATTCTCAAATTCCAATTCAAACAGCCGTTGTATTCACCAACTGATAATTGCTTTGTTCCAATTGTTTTCTTATCAGATCTTTGCTCACGAGGAGCACGTAGCCTTAACCAAGATGGACGTGAACAATCTGGCCATGGTGATGGCGCCAAACTGCCTACGATGCATCTCGGACCAACCGGAAATCATCTTTGAGAACACTCGCAAGGAGATGTCCTTTGTTCGTCTTCTTATCCAGTATTTAGATACCTCTTACATGGTGGATATACATTAATGAAATTATCTTTCAGAACAGAACACTCGTAAGGAGATGGCCATTGTTCGGCTCCTCACTCAGTATTAAAGCCCCAATGCACTACTTATAGCTACTTGCGCCCTCTGTATAGCAAACAATGCCTAATCGGTGCCTGTTGGTCTCCCATCCTCTTTTCTGTATGTTAATTAAGAGCTGATTTGATGAGATAACCACCTGTCAGTGACCTTGCAGGGAGGTCTAATCCCCTGGCCAAACTAGTGCAGACAGGCTTTAAAATACCTTCTACATGGAGGGTATAGGGTAATGAAATGTGAAGGTCACGTTGGTATCAAAATGTTCAGAGGCTTCATTAGCTTTAGGTCAGATGGTTGAGAAATTGTTCTTGTGGCCACCGAAGAATAAATTATTATGTTAATTAGGGTATACGGTTATGAAGTAAATATGTAGTGCAGGCATCAAAGTGTTCAGATGCTCCAATAAGATGGTTTTAGAAATTGTTCTTGTGGCCACCAAAGAATTAGTTATGCATGGAAAAGTCCTGCTTTCATCTCCTCATCAAATATTTAAATACCTCCTAAGGTAATGACATAATTATGAAGGTCACGTTGTTGTCAAAATGTTCAGAGGCTTTAATAGCTTGGGGTCAGATGGTTTTAGGGATTTTTCTTTTGGCTACCAAAGAATAAGTTTTTTGGAGGGTGTGGGATATATGTATAACTGCGGGTGTTGTGGGGCTCCAACAGCTCGTACCAGACCCTGACTCTTCAGGTTTTAAGATTTATCAGAGGTTTACCGAAAAATATTTGTAAGAATATTCTCAGGCCGTCTACTCATCAAGTATTAAGATACCACTAATATGTTATTGAATAAGAGAGTACTTACACAGCATTGGTTTCAAGGTCTGGATGATTTGTCTAAGGGCACAACATAATTTGTTATGCACGCTTTGTCCGTTCTCTTTCTACTTATCTCGTATTAAGATACTTTTAGGAAAGTACACAGTCAATGAAACGTGAAAGTCTTATGGTTTTGAGGATTTGCCTAAGGTCACAACAGAGCTTGCATGCATGCATTGTCCTTTTTATGTCTACTCATCTTATCTCTAGATATGTCCAAAAGGAAAGTACACAGGTAATAAAACGTGAAAGTCCAGTTGGTATCAAAGCATTCAGAGGCTTCAATGGCTTATGCCATGACATGGCTGTTAAGTTCTTGAGGATTTGCCAAAGGTCACAACAGAATTTGCATGCATGTACTCTCCTTTCTCTGTCTACTCATCTAGTGTTCATATATTATTAATAAGAGAGAATGCAATAATGAAAAATGAAAGTAGTTCTGGTATCAACGTTGTCTGATACACCTGAGGGTTTGCATGTTAAGGGTTTAGGGCTTTGAAAGTTGAGGGTGCAGGAGCTTTGAATTGTAAAAGTTTATGGGGGTTGAATGTTAGAGGCTTTTAGGGGTTCTAATAAGTTTCGAAAATTTGTCATGTAAGTGCTGTCAGATTATTTTTCTAACGAGGTACATGTATGGAATTGTAGATGTCTTAGACTCCACCTCCATTTGACTAAATATAAAGTCAAGATTAGAATTCCCCCAAAATTTGACTCACATCGAATTGTACGTATGGGACTAATCTCAATTTGAGATTTTATCTTCTTCTTTCTGAGAATTTCTATATTTAATTCAATTCCAGAAGTTTTGCAGACAATAATTTAGGTTCTTTGAATGTCACAGAATGTCGCAAGTCTACTAAGATGGCCATATAATGTTTTTTTAAATATTTTTTTCATATGCTGAATTATGCCATGTCTTTATTCTGTTCAATCAATCATTTTGCATTTTTCAATCACAATATCCTAACACCCGAATTCTCTAATACCGGTAGATACTAAGGGCATTTTACCCTCGCAATCAATTACTATTTGCAGTTATTATTATTAATACGCCATTATGCAATACATATTGTATTCTGTTTACATGTACTTGTGTATAGCTCGACGTGTGTTAGGACAAAGTAGTAAGCCAATGGTGTACAATCATGTCCGCAAAAGTTCCGTCGATGAAAATTGTTTCCTGTGCTTGCGATTGCTGTGTTGAAATCATCCTTCCATGTATTTGATTGTATTGTTTTTGTTTAGGATAGACATGTACAGTCAAACTGCTTCAGTGGTCACCTGTAGAGAAAGACCACCTGTCTATAAAGACCACATTTTTGTTTGTTTCCCTTGAATACGGTTTCTCATTGAAACCTGTACTGAAGGAACTGGTAGATGAAGGCCACCTGAGTACAAAGGCCACTTTCCATGTCTCCCTTGAGTGGTCTTTATATACAGGTTTCACTGCACATGTGCTTTTAGCAAATTAAACATGGAGGCTGAATTAAATTTGTATGACAGTGTAGAGGCAGTTATTTTGAAGGCCAAGTATGATTTATTGCAATTTCTGTAATTAATTGATTGTGAAATGCAATGGTATCAAGTTTCCCATCCTGAATTCAGTGGTGTTTAAAACTAAACAACTGAAGGGAGAGGGGAGGGGAGGGGGGGGGGGAGGAGATGCCCTGAATCTGTATTAGTGTGGCATCTCCACCCCATCCCTCTCCCACTCCCAAAATGAAAAATGGAAATAAAATGGGAAAAAGAAGATGAGGAGCAAAGAGGTTATTTGAGATAGTACAAATTAGATGAAGTGCACTCAGACATTATTTGTAATCAAACATACTTTGGTATTAAGAAATTGTCCCAAATCAAATTGTCTGAATGGTTGATGATACATGTAGTCTCAGCATATAGAATGTATTATGTATAGCTGTATTAGTGAAACATTACTTAGATAAACAAACAACATGATCCTCAAGCGTATTATATATGTATGTCATTTTATTGCTGATGGTCACAAAAAAGGGATGCAAATTACCTCACTGCTTTTGTTTCTTTCGTTCACGTTGTATTCAAAAAGTCCATTTTTATATTCTCGTTTTCTATAATCTTGATTGACTTACTGTGAAAGCCATTTTTTTCTCACATGTTGTACAACCACATCAAGTTAATATATATCATTGGGGAGGTTATAATACCTTGTAACTAAAGATAGTCGAATGAAGATAATCGAATGAAGATAGTCAAATGAAGGTAGTCAAATGAAGATAGTCAAATGAAGGTAGTCACATGAAGATAGTCAAATGAAGGTAGTCAAATGAAAATGGACAAATAAAGGTAGGTCAAATGAAGATGGTCAAATGAAGATAGTCAAACGATGTTGGTCAAACTAAGATGGTCAAATGAAGATAGTCAAATAAAGATAGTCAAATGAAGATAGTCAAATGAAGATAGTCAAATAAAGATAGTCTAATGAACTGAAACATTTTCCTATTTGTCCTCTCAAAAGCATCAACGACCAGGTTGGTGATGGTATTATTTTTGCAAATTCACATCACATGGTTTTGTCAGTCAAAGTGATCCTTGGCTACCAAATCATGAAGAAACTGAAAAAATGAAATTTGAATCACAAGGTATTTATCACTGCACTTATGGTAGTTATCATTAGAAAAAAAGAAAATAAGAAGAAAAAAAGTGACACAAAAAAGTTGTGGAAAAAAAGGCCAGAAATTGAGATAAGATGTTTTTGTTTGCTATGTCATACCCAAAGGAGTAATGAAAAACAAAATTGCGCTACAATACACAATACACTGTAATGCATGACGTATATAAAAGCTTGTTGAAATCTGATATACATTACCGTTGTGTGAATCGCCATTTGCTACTTATAAAAGATAGTTTGCATATATAACTATAGCTTTCCCATGAGTATCAACATTAAAGGTAATACAAAGTTTTGGTATGGGGTCATGAATTTGGTCTAAATGAACATATTAGAAGCATATGCGATCCTACAATATTCATTGATCGTTGTCGCGATTGAAATCGATTCTAAAGCTATGAAATTGTAATTAATAAACTCTTTATGTTGTATAGCTCCCTCTCAAGGTCAAGATATTAATTAAGCTATAAAACAATGTTTCTTGACTAAAATCGACCAATTAGCTATTCCCGTTTGGAAATTATATATCACAACAACATATTCTGAGATTTTCATGGTCGCAGCTACAATTGTATGGCCGTAGGCGCTATTTGAAATTTATCAAAATTTACTGGGAGCACCGGTAAATTTTTATATTCAATTTCTCTCGAAAGCAGAAGTGTTTTAGGGGCTAAATTTTGTTTTGCTTTTAATATATCCACAGGGGCATCCAAATATATTATATTTGTAAAGAATCACTATCCACCCAATTTTCGAATTTTTCCAAAACTTTGTATTACCTTTAATAAAAGAAGTAAAACTTTGTATTACCTTTAATAAAAGAAGTAAGAGAAATATCAAAGTTATGCGATGGCATTCGATATGTACTGTATACCTGTACATGTAAGTGCTTACTTTTAATGCCAATATATACTGTATTCAAGCATTGCACTGAAATGTACTTTTTTCACCATCTAATTTTCATCACAAATATGCTAACCAGACTGTGTATTCATCCTGGAACAAACGATGTATTGGGAATTTTTAAAATCCGGCAAGAACGCTCGAATGGACATTACAAGAAATCAGTTTTCTATATTCGTTTCCATTTGAAGCCTTAAATACTGAATCAGTGAAACTAAAGCCTCGGTCACAAATGCCATTACGAACTGCTACGAACGCCGTACGAACGATTTTCATACAATGGAAATTCTGGAAGACAATGGAAAAACAGGGAGCTTCGTACGAAATTATCGTTCGTACGAACCTTTGTGACCGTAGCATTAATAAGATCTATAAATGCCTAACTAAGCCCCATTTTGAATATGTCTGATTGTATTTGTGTACGGTAGCTTTCTATGTTTCAGTAGTTGAAGTGCATAGTTAATCAATTTGAATTTTGTTTTATTGTATACCTTTTATACAAATTGAATAATTATTTGTGTAAATAGAGTGAAATATTATTTATTTAAATTATTTTTATCACCAAAAAGTGTTGCGAAACATTTAGATGAGAATTAGACAAAAAGTGTGATGATTGTATAGCTTCAACTTAGTGTTGTATTGTGTGTCCTTTATATTCAAAATGTCACTATAGTTTGGCGTGAAATAGCGCTAAAGTTTGTGTATGATGATGATAATCACTATTCAATTGTGCCCTTGCTAATATATATTTACCACTGGTATATCAATCGCTAGTGATATTGGAATATATGTATATGTGCTTACATCCATCACTATTAATGTGAGTATATGGAAAGAAAATATTATCAATTCATATATGCATTTTTTTTTCCATGCAATGATTTATTTTTGCTCACATTATTCCTATATATATATGGCTGCTGTTTTTGCACATCGATGTAACAAAATATACTCTATGAAAAGTGGACAGAGAGTTTCTCTATGGCTGAAGTGTTGCGTATAGACAATTACTGTTTTCTTAAAGGTAATACAAAGTTTTGGTATGGGGTCATGAATTTGGTTCAAACAAACATATTGGAAGCATACGCAATCCTACAATATTCAGTGAAGTTATGAAATTATGAATATTAAACTATTTATGTTGTATAGCTCCCTCTCAAGGTCAAGATATTAATTAAACCCTGAAACAATGTATCTTGACTAAAATCGACCGATTAGCTATTCCCGTTTGGTAATTATATATCACAACTACATATTCTGAAATTGTCAGGGTCGCAGCTATACCATTGTACGGCCGTAGGCACTTTTTTAAAATTTATCAAAATTTACCGGTAAAAACGTTATATTCAATTTTTCTTGAAAGCAAAAGTGTTTTAGGGGCTAATACTTTTGGTGCTTATAATACATCCACAGGGGCATCCAATTATATAAAACTTGTAAAGAATCACTATCCACCCAATTTTCAAAATTTCCCAAAACTTTGTATTACCTTTAACCATCTTATGTATGTTAAATGTTTCTCAAAGATCCTAAGTTGAACTTATCTCGAAGTTGGACTTAACAATTATGGAAAGCCGTTAGCATCTATGAAAATATTTGGTAAAAGTTATTTTAAAAAGCATAACATTTTGATTCAAATCTTTCATATTCTCTATTATCAAGAAGATTTCAGGTTCTTGATGTGGAATTGATAAAAAGTCTAAAATACTTCAATTTTCACTTTTGAACATGTTTTTTATAGCTACAGATGGCTCTCCATAATGTTGAAGTCCAACTTAGATTTAAGTTCGACTTAGGATCTTTCTGAAACACCCCCTTAGTCTACATGTATATGTCAGCAATAGATAGTCCTTCCTATTTTTAATAGTTATATAATTCATGTTTTATACTAAATGTCTCTTAACCCTTTAAAGCCGGGGGGGGGGGGGGGGGGGGGATTAGAAGCCCCCCCCCCCCCCCCCCCACCCCTCTAAATTTTTCACGATAATTTGTTGAAAGTATAAATTTCATTTAACTACCTTATGATCTTGTATTCTGTGAACGCATTAATGATGAATTTGTCCCAATAATAGGATAAATCAAAGAATTACATGTTCAAATGTAAATGTAGTACCCGTATGCATTCTTAGATTGATATGTTTCATGGTTTATTGAGAAACAGAATTGTGTCCTAAAGAAACACCATATATGCAAGTCAATACTTTAGGGACATTATTTTCTCTGTTTTATCATTTTTAATGTAGGGCTGAAATGAGAAGCATTGTTAATTATCTTTGTCTAGCACAATCTAAACAAAAGTTATGAGCCTTTATTTCAGATGACACAGTGTGCATTTATGACTATACACCAAAACAAGAAAGATTTGCAAATGAAATAAGTATCTACGTTTTGTTATGTTCTTTCTTTTCTGATCTATAGATTGTGAATTAGCACGTTGAGTTTATCATTTTGAAACAAGTACAGTGTACGAGTATTTCATTTAGCCACATGAAGCAAATGGAACCAGCCATACAATGTTATGTGATAATGATTACCATTTCCGTGCTCATTTGAAGTACTCTTACTGCACCAAACTTACATGAATATGTCTTATATACACTTATATGTAACTGAGCAAGTAGATATTGCACAATATATACACACTTGTTAAAAATCGCAATTTAGCTTCTCGCACGGAACAATAATAAGAACAGAATAATCCCAGAGCAACATATAGTCAGATGAATTTGAGTGTTTTTAATTAATTGTTCGATCAGTCTTGGAGAAATGGTGTTAAGACAGATACAAATGAAATATATAATCCCTGAGTTACATATATATTCATATGAATCTGCGTATGTCTCAATCAATTTTCGATCAGTCTTTGAGAAGTGGTGTTGAGACAGATACATATGAAATGTTCACGATTGAAAACATGTATTTTGATTTAATATAATTATGTGTGTAGATAAACAGTGTGAAGATTTCTTTTAATATATACAAGGTAATTTTTGTAATCCTATATACCCTCTTAATGTATAAGAGTGAGACTTCACTTTGTAAGGTGTCTTATTAGGATCACTCCTCTCAAAAGAGTTATCTTGTCATTACTTTTGATTGGATTAAACTCTAATTAGAGTGAATTATATTCTAAATGGAGTGAAATGATCTAAGTGAGGGGATTAAACTCTTTAATTGTAGTGGATTCAACTCTGATTGGAGTGGATTCAAATCTAATTTGGAGTAGAATTCTGTACTTGGAGTGGATTAATATTCAATTGGAGTGGATTCAAACTTATTTGAGTGGAATACTAAAAATGGAGGTAATTTAACTCTAATTGGAGTGGATTAATATTCAATTGGAGTGGATTAAAACTTATTTGAGTGGAATACTCAAAATGGAGGTAATTTAACTCTAATTGGAGTAAATTAAATGTCTTCTGGGATTGGACTGAACTCTACTTGGATTGGATTAAACTAGATTTGAGTGGATTAAACTCTAATTAGAATGAAGTAACCTCCATAGGAAGTGATCCTAAATGATTACTAAAAAGTGGATTTTTGCTTCTGTGCATTCAGAGAGCTTAGTACATGTACCATTTCATATAGACATAATGTCTGGTCGGAGCCAGAAAGGATTCACACTGTGTTAGAGCCCATGGGGAACTGTTTTCATGGCTCCTGTAACAGACGTTATTATGATGTATTGCGAAGAAGGGTTTTTTGATGTAATTATAATCTTATTTGTATTGCATTTTTGTTCTTTGGTTAGAAAAATATGAATCAAGTGCTATATGTATGTAAAATGAATAATACTGTAAAGAAATGCATGTTAAACTGTGAAAATTAGTATGATATTATTTTTAGTATTAATGCTGTACATTATTTTGGGCTTTGAAAATAGACGGGAGTGAAAGAGAGCGAGAGAGAGAGTGAAAAAATGAAAGTAAATATGTTGAAAACTGTGAATATGATGTATAAAGTCATCATGTGTAGAACAATTAAAGTGAGATATTGTACAGAAAAACAGTAAACCAGGAATGTTTTGTGTTTTATTTTGTGTATAAGTAGCGATTTAACTGACTTGTTCAGAATTCGATTTCCCCCCCCCCCCCCCCCCCCGATTTGCCCACGACATATTTCTATCCCTTGCCGTGGCATGTTTTCTCTCCTTTCCAATCTCAATCTCCCTCTCTCTCTCTCTTCCTCTCACCCAACCTCCATCTCTCTCTCTTTCTTCCTATCCTTCGCTCTCTCTCCTACTCCTAGAAATCGTCGCTGTTTTCACTAAGTGACGGTAGTGAAAAAAAATTGCTTTCACTTTGCGTTACGATTTTCCTCACTACCGTCACTTCGTGAATTTGTGAAAACAAGGACGAAATGTAGTCATGGTATGTTCTTGTGATACAATACACGCTACACTGTAATACAAATGTAGCTAAAACTCTCGTACATTATGCACAAACATGTTCTTGTCAGTTTTACGAAATATTAATTTGAAAAGGGGAATTTCTAAAGCCATCTGAAGGTGATTATACAAAACAATAATCCTCATGAATGACGTCATCACTTTCCATTTTGCAACCTGTGGATGCAGGATCTTTTAGAGCATTATATCTTTATATCTCTTTCTCTTGCTGAGGCATGTGTCTCTCTCTTCCACCCTCTCTCTCTCTCCCTCCCTGTCCCTCTCTATGTCGCTCTCTCTCTCTCCCTCTCTCCCCCAACTCCCCCTCTCCCCTCCTATAAATTTAGCCAATGTATGTTCTTGTAAGTCTTACAAAGTATTAATTTGAAAAGGGGAATTTCTTAAGCCATTTCTTTTTAAATAAGCGTCATCAATGACGTCATCACTTTCCATTTTGCAACCTTTAAAGGTAATACAAAGTTTTGGGAAATTTTGAAAATTGGGTGGATAGTGAATCTTTACAATTTTTATATATTTGGATGCCCCTGTGGATGTATTATAAGCACTACAAAAATTAACCCCTAAAACACTTCTGTTTTCGAGAAAAATAGAATATAAAAATTGACCGGTGCTCCCGGGAAATTTTGATAAATTTCAAATAGCGCCTACGGCCGTACAATGGTTGCTGCGACCATGAAAATCTCAGAATATGTAATTGGGATATATAATTTCCAAACGGGAATAGCTAATCGGTCGATTGGTCAAGAAAGATTGTTTCTTAGCTAAATTGATACCTTGACCTTGAGAGGGAGCTATACAACATAAAGAGTATATTATTTATAATTTCATAACTTTAGACTCGATTTCAACCGGGACAACGATCAATAAATATTGTAGGAACTCATATGCTTCCAATATGTTAATTTGAACCAAATTCATGACCCCATACCAAAACTTTGTAATACCTTCAAGAGCATATATATATATATATATATATATGTATCAGTGAGACTAACTCAATGAGAACGTTAATAAATATATATATATGGTATATATATACACATAGGGGGAATGGACACGGGAGAAGAAAGAAAGGAAAAAAAGGTCATGCAATAACGATTAATGGCAAGTGTCGCCATGATTTCTACGATACTGTGACGTTAAACCTCTGAGCGAGTTCCACATTAAACAACTAAAGAAAAAGACTTCCAGCACCCAAGTTATGATACCATGCAGAACTGATCGACAGGTTCAGTTTGAACGAGTGTGCGGTTGAATCTGCAATTTAATATCGGAAAAGAACAAACAATACTAAGCATGTGCTTACACTTATATTCATGGATTTCATCAGTAAAGAAACATTTCTAGAATAGCATAACTAGCATTCCATAATGAGGTTAATGGTCACTGTAAACCTATCAATAGCCGGTGTCACACAGAAAAATCCCTTGAAAAATCCTTTAAAGAAACGGAGAGGAACCGACCAGAAAAGGTTGATCACCTACAATGTAGCATATAAGAATTTGTGTGTATTGCAAGGTTCTGGAATCATCAAAACGATAAGAAATTTGGCCAGGTCTTGGTAAAGTTACAAACACTGTACACAGAAAGATGTATATGGGACTACACAAAAACATGGGGTAAAAATCCTACCCGGGGTAAAAATCCTACCCGGATTTTTACGATGTTACATGACATATTTAGAATATGAAGGCATTTGACTAGCCATGCTTTTCAGGGAACATGTATTATCTGATGTTCTTCCACACTTGTATAATAAGAATGATAACGCTCACAAATAATTGTTCACCTCTTCCCAGAAATCAACCTTCTCTTTAAACTATGCCTTTAAACATACCATTAAACACTTGTTCATTCCCAAAAGGACTTTCTCCATCCTCCCTAGTTCATCTTATATTTCTTAGTGTATTATTCATTCAAACCCCGTACCCTTTTACATTGACTTTACATAGCACATCCCTATTTCTGGCCATGGTAATCTACATGCATTCACAGATACATGTAGGTGATACAGTCAAACCTGTCTATAGCGACAGACCAAGGGAAACACAAAAAGTGGCCTTTGTAGACAGGTTCCTTTAGTACATGTTTCAATGAGAAACCATTTTTAAGGGAAACAAAAAAATGTGGTCTTTGTAGACGGGTGGTCACTAAAGCAGGTTTGACTGTACCACAGGCCATGCCCATGCCAAGCCTATACAATAACATGAACAAAATTAAAGTTTGTTATCAAATTTTTACATGCCAATTTTTGCCTCATACAAAGGAGAAATAATGTATTACATAATACTAGGATGTCTATACTTGCAACATTGGGGTTGTTTAAAGAACGTGAATTTACTACTGGAACTCACTGACCCCAACATTTTTCCTATCGTGGAAATTATGCTACCAGATAAAAATAACTTGCATTATACATCAGAGCTGACCACCCGTTTACAATACGGTAGACCATACAATACCAACAGTTGCTACAATACATCTATGTCAGACGTGCTGGAGCATCACCAGGAAAAGAATGTACATACCACTGTCTCTTGTTAGCTCTCTATTGATTGACAGATGTCACAAGATTAATGAGATCTGGAGTTTTTAGGGTGGAGCTTAGCAGGTCTGAGAAAATTATTTGTTTTAATATTTAAAAATCTATGAAATATATTGAGATGTTTGAATAACAAATTATGAGTTGTACACTGTATGCAGCCCTGCACATCAACATGAATCAACTTACATGTACATGTATATTTTGATTTCACCCGACCTTTAAATGTGTAGCTATTGCGGAGCATTTACCCCAAAATATCAATTCCCTTTCCTGGTTTTTATAAAAAAAACATGTTCTACATGTACATATTACATATGCATTACATACACACACAAAAACTATACAAAAATCAGAATTTACACTTAACTCTGCGTACTGCATTCCATAAATTGCATTTACAAAAGCACATTACAGTCATTGCCTTTTTATACAATGTTGCCTCTACATACACAACAAACACTTCTTGTCTAAAGATGTATGCCGACAGGTTAATTAAAGTAGCATTGGGAAAAATGATAATTTGCCCTAGAGTTCATACCAACTAAATATCAACACATTTGTTGACACTCTGTAGCAATTAAGCATAATAAAAGTGTAAAAGTCCTTGGCTTTCTATCTTATGAATTGAATTTCCAAAGGTAAAAATTAAATATATAAGCTCAGACATAACGAGTCGTCTCTACCTTTATGCATATTCTAGAACTGCTAACTACTCAGAACTGTGTATTTAAGTACATGTATTCTTGAAATTAAACTGTTTGTGTGAGTTTTCAAGCAAAATTTGGTAAAATAATAATTAAAGGCATTTACTATTCTGAGGCACACAAATGAATTATCATCCCGGCTTCAGCCTAGCTGTCATGACAGTGCTATAGCATTTCAAGGAAATAATTCCTGCCAGATAGTACCCGTTTACATCACCTGGGTTGAGTGTGGCTAATCTAGATTAATGCCTTGCCAAAGGACATTTACAGTAGTGCCGTGTCGGGGATCAAACCACGACCTATAAATTTTAAGTCAAGACTACAATACTTCTACAAACCCATCACTAGGTACAACAGGGTTACAGTATACACACAAAAATGTATTTTCAAATTCAGAAATGTTGTTTCTTTGATTAAACACTCTCATTGGTCTTGATCAAATATTCATTATACTTACATGTACCTGTAGGCCTATATACAGAACATCGAGTTGCAATATTGCTTTCATAATAAATATTCTCTTTTTGGTCTATGCACCAAATATCAACCAATGTTGGCTGTTTAGCTCTTAAAATTATCAATGTGTATGTGTCATGACTAATAAACATATTATGACACAGTCTATTGCAAGGCAGAAAGTACATTATCTTTCAAGATTAGCCTTAACTGTCCTAAAATATAATCTTATCAGTCTTGATAAAATATTCAGTATATACAGAAAATTGAGGTGAAATATTGCTTTCATAATAAATATTCTCTTTTTGGTCTATGCACCAAATATCAACAAATTTTGGCAGTGTAGCTCTTAAAATTATCAATGTGTATGTGTCATGAATAATTAACACATTATGACACAGTCTATTGCAAGGCAGAAAGTACATTATCTTTCAAGATTAGCCTTAAGGTCCTAAAATATATTCTTATCAGTCTTGATAAAATATGCAGTATATACATGTATACAGAACATTGAGTTGAAATATTGCAGTCATAATAAATATACTCTTTTTGTTCTGTGCACCAAATATCAACCAATGTTGGCTGTTTCGCTCTTAAAATTATTAATGTATATGTGTCATGAATAATTAACATATTATGACACAGTCTATTGCAAGGCAGAAATGTACATTATCTTTCAAGATTAGCCTCCACTGTCCTAAAATATATTCTTATCAGTCTTGATAAAATATTCAGTATATACAGAACATTGAGTTGAAATATTGCTTTCATAATAAATATACTCTTTTTGGTCTATGCACCAAATATCAACCAATGTTGGCTGTTTAGCTCTTAAAATTATCAATGTATATGTGTCATAAATAATTAACATATTATGACACAGTCTATTGCAAGGCAGAAATGTACATTATCTTTCAAGATTAGCCTCCACTGTCCTAAAATATATTCTCATCGGTCTTGATAAAATATTCAGTTTACTTACATGTATATACAGAACATTGAGTTGAAATATTGCTTTCATAATAAATATACTCTTTTTGGTCTATGCACCAAATATCAACCAATGTTGTCTGTTTAGCTCTTAAAATTATCAATGTATATGTGTCATAAATAATTAACATATTATGACACAGTCTATTGCAAGGCAGAAATGTACATCATCTTTCAAGATTAGCCTCCACTGTCCTAAAATATATTCTTATCAGTCTTGATAAAATATTCAGTATATACAGAACATTGAGTTGAAATATTGCTTTCATAATAAATATACTCTTTTTGGTCTATGCACCAAATATCAACCAATGTTGGCTGTTTAGCTCTTAAAATTATCAATGTATATGTGTCATAAATAATTAACATATTATGACACAGTCTATTGCAAGGCAGAAAGTACATTATCTTTCAAGATTAGCGTTAACTGTCCTAAAATATATTCTTATCAGTCTTAATAAAATATTCAGTATATATATACAGAACATTGAGTTGAAGTATCCCTTTCATAATAAATATAACTCTTTTTGGTCTATGCACCAAATATCAACCAATTTTGGCTGTTTAGCTCTTAAAATCATCAATGTGTATGTGTCATGAATGTACATCGTGCCCGATCAGTGGCGTACGCAAGAATTTTTGAAGAAGGAGGGTGTTTGAAAATGTAAATTTGGAAATCGCGTCGACAAATATTTTGCTCAGTGATGGGGAGAGAGAGGGTTAACCCCCAAAACACTACCCCCCCCCCACCTCTGTGTACGCGTCTGTGCCCGATTTCCCCCTAGGGCACAATATTAACGCAAAAGGCAGCATTGTGCGTCGGCAACGCCACGGGGTTGCCTTACGGAGACCCTTTTACATAGCAGGTCCCAAGGCGCAGTACACCATGTAGTGGTCACTCATAGTGGTGTGAACCACTCCTGACCCTCGGACACTGGCTGGGTCATCTGTGTAAACCAGGTCAAGCAAGGTTTCGGTCGTCTTATATGTATCCTGACCTTTTTCTTTCCTAGTTGCCACCCGTGTAGGCTCTGTTATCAACTGTGACAAGCCATGGCTACTTTCAAGTTTATCAAGCGCTTTGATTTTATCCCCCTTTACAGACGTCATGCTTTTACACGTCTTAAGAGTTTCACGATCGCAGTTGAAATCCCCTAGTATCACATAATTTGTTTCACAACTGCAAGATTGCTTGCAATGTTTATCTGCTGCTTTCAGATTATCCATACTTTTTTGCAACTTTTTCAACAGGGCAATCTGATCCCTTGTTCCTGGGGGTACATACACATTGATAATTTTAAGACGAGCCTTCATCTTACAAGCGCCGGAATTGGCCTGATTCGCTAGCCTTGGACTAGGTCCCTCCTTATCAAGCTCAATAACAACGCAGACTGCTTCTAAGCCTTCCTCTAGGCCAATATTACACTCTTTTGCTAATTTCGCCAAATCTTTTTTGACATATGTCATAACACCACCGCGGTACTTACTAGTACATTTGGGGGACCCATCTTTTCTTGCCATAATGGTGTAACCGGGGATATTGAAGCTGTCGGTCGAGTGGTTTGGTCCCATACAAGTCTCGCTCACCGTGAGTACATCGATGTCTGTTGAAAGAGCCAGGCCTTTCAGCTTGTCTTTCTTGTTGCAAAGAGACTGGCAGTTCAGATGAGTGATCTTGATCCCTTCTAACTGCGCCACGGTTTTCAACTCATTCTGGACCTGGTTTTGAGGGATTTGTGGCTTCGTTGGGGACTTGTTTCCCAGATTGATGCGACGCTTCCCTCTCGACTCTTTTGGCGCTGTGTTTAGAGACGTATTACTTCCCTACAAGAAAAGAGAAATAATGAAGAATAATATTTGATAGATCGGTATTTGAACGATTGAATAATTAGAACATTTTTTCTTGCAATAAATATTATTATTTTGTCAGGAAAACAGGAAAGACACAAACCCTTCAAAAAATATTGTTATGAAAAAGAAAAATTATAGCCTAAAGCGATTTGTACCAGACATGCATCTTTTCCTCAAATTGTCAAATAGTGATTAATACGAACACTGAGAAAATAGAGAATACCTCTTTCATGGACTATGAATAGAGACTATGCTAAATTGCTTTCATTTATAAATCATTTGTCGAGGGCAATAACACGTGAACTACAAGTTAAATAAATAGGCACCCCTTTTGGTTTTCAGCTGACGAAATGACCAATTTGGCTGTTCACAAGAAGGCAGTAAAAGCTACATGTAGGTAATACCTGTACATGTGCATTGTACATGTACATTTTGTACTTATTGCTGGAGGCTAACGTCCGGCTGCTCACCTTTAGAAGAATTACCAAGATTCCACGGCCATCAACGCCATGGCGTTTCTCTAGATCAGCGACAGTAGCAACCTCGGCAAGGTTATGGACTCTGATCTTCTGGGAATTTGGCATCAGTCGAGCGAATTCGATCCCAGTCGTGAGTTCATCCTTGAGATTAGGAAAACAGCCTTTTATCTCGTGCGCAAGTTGGTCTATGGTCCAAGATCGATCTATGCCATCTCCATTACTGCAGCTTCCTAAGAAAAAAGATGAAAACAATTTGTGAAATATCTTGCTTATTATATTGACCTTAAATGAAACACTCATTCTGAGCATATTTTTCAAAAATAGTTGGGTTTTCTTGGAAGATCACTTAGGTATTTTCTCAATGAATGATACTGGAAGAAGTATTCTATCATTCTCCCTCTGCATTGTGCATCCAAGAAATATTAGCTTAGCTGAATGCGCAAGTTGAGCGCGATCGGCAAGCTCTACCTCCATTACAACGTGCGTCCACTTCCGGTTTGAGCGCATTCGGCAAGCTCTACCTCTATTGTCTACAAGTTATCGTGCATCCACTTCCGGGTTTGTTCGCCTAATACACATACGCGGTCCAAATGCATATGTGCAGATTGTACGTGCTGTCACCATGGTTTGGACTGAGCGGAGCTCATGCCTCCCTATTTAGCTGATCCAAAAAATGGGGGGAAGGGTTTTTTCAAACTGTTATCGCTTGTGATCCCTTGGGGCAAGCGAAAAAATAAGCGAATAGATATTTTCTTTACGTCTAGCCCTACATAAGCTCACTTCAGGAAAGTGGCAAAGATCGGAGTTCTGGTTCTGGTGGGCTACTGCATAAACTCCTCAGCTGGGATGTAATATGCAGGCGCATTCGACTGAGCAGAGTATACTTAATTTCTAAAGTGTGCTCTAGCAATTATTTCGCCCACGTTGAGCTTATGTAAGTTATCTTTAAACTTAAGGCTCCAAGGGTGGGGGTATTTCTAACATGGGTTGGGGAATGTCCTAGGATATAGAGAGTGTTTATAATAGTCTTTTACAGCGGATAACTTCTTGAATGATACTGAAGAGCGTATTCTTGTACATGTAGATACCTCTACTCCAGATGATTTGTTTTGGTAGTGGTCAGTATCAACGGCAATTAGGTTGTGGATGGATTCTACCCCCAAATATTCTAGCTTGAATACGACTTCCAAAACGGAATCCCCCATTAGATACTGTGTTTCGATTATCTTCTTTTTGTGAGTAACAAGCATTGCATTACATTTTGTAGTAGTAATTTGGTACATGCTTTGATTGTGACGTTGCGCACATAGCTTTATGATGTAACGCGTACCGGCAATGCCGCCCACCGGGTAATGCATGGTCGCACACTTTGGAACTCGAAGCATTTTGAAAGGTGGACAATGCTGTACACGTTGTGGGTCAGTCAATGCAAGAAATATAAAAGAGGAAGAAGGATAGGCCTAATGCAAAGACGATTGAAATAATACGTTGGATTTAATCTAGTAAAATTATTAGGAAATTTTTCGGATTTTAGAGTCCTCCTAGTCTAGATTATATTAAAACTACAAACAGATTTGAAATGTTCATATAGATCTAGATCTAGTGCTTTTTCCTCTGTGAGTAGTCTATATTATGATTATGATTATGACTGAAATGTTTGAATATCATCAGTATTAAAATCATAAGACTAGACTAGACCTAGAAATCTCTAGGCCTAGGCCTGTAATGAATGGAGATACCGTCTCGAAAGAATTTTCCGAGGGAAAAATATTCAAGATTAACCTGGCTTCAAAGAGAAATGTAACCTTCTCCAGCCATCATTTCTATCAACAGCTGTCCATATCAATGCACAGTCCCTCTCTGGCATTCCAAATAGTACGAAATGTTACGCAACGCCATCTGCTTCCCTAATTCTCTATTCACTCTTTTGCAAAAATATGCAAGCATCGAGCTTTGAAGCCATGCGAGGCACCGAAAAATTAAGTCATGTTCAGTGAATATGTATTTAGCTAGACCTATAACATATAAAATGCAGAATTCACAACATATGATCAATACAACTTTCTATTAGAGTCTAGTCATCAAATGCGTTTTCCGTTCTCGGATAGCTCTACTGAAGACATGGCCATTTCAACCAGCGAAATCGACCAAGGAAATCATGAGTTAGAGCGAATGAAAGGTTTTCATCATCATGATTTTCTCATCTAATTATTGACATTTTCCGAAAATTTCCGAAATTTGTACATAGACTAGTCTAGTCTAGCTAGGAAGGTAGTCCAAAGGTTTATCTTCCTAAAGAATAGTAAAGTTAAATGAAATTGTGTTGTCTATGTTTGCGCATTTAGACCTATTGATTTAGGGCTAGAAGTTGTCCAGTTATCACCACTATTCACCCAGAGTACGGGCCGGCAAAGCAAAAGCCGCCGTGCTCGCTGGGCTGGGCTGTGGGTGGAACGGGAGTGACTTAGAGCCACTGGGGAGCTGTATGGTCTCGGAGAGGGATTAAGGGGATTACGGCAGGGGAAACAAAAGACGCGCGGTACCACGGATGGCTTCAAAGGGGCCTCTTGGACGGGATCTCCATTCATTACAGCTTCCTGCCTATACCTAGGGCTAGGCCTAGAATCTAGACCCCCTACTCACCATATCCGTCTTTTGCTAATGTCTCCTGCCTTTCTTTGTCGGGAAAGTAATTTTGATTTTGGTAGGTTTTGGGCAGCAGAAATATATCCTTTGGTTTCCACCTCTTCCTCCAGCCCATGTTGATGATTATTTAGCAAAGCAGCAGTGCAGATCAGAATGGGCCTGTATGGGATACGTGTATTATTTCCAATGACAATGCAATAACAATGACAATGCAATTAATGACAATGACAATAAACTATCAGTACAGTATAGTAGTACAGTGGTTATCCCATTTGCGCAGCTAGCGCGCGCTCGATAATACGTCATGGTTTGTTGTTGTTGTTGGGGTTCAGATGGCGCTCTTCAATCTTGGCAGATTATCTGCGCCACGGCGATCCTTCTTTGATGCATGTTCATCTTTTCGAACTTGATCTCATATGGCTCACTTTTACTGAGGGGGGGGGGGGGGGGGGGGGGGGGGGGTCTGTCTCTCCAGACTTCTGTTTTCGAGTCATGACTTGGCTCACTTGTCTCAGCGAAGTGCTACTGTGCAACGGATTAATTATATTTAATTTCCCTTCACCATTAGTCCTGCATTTTAATCATAAGGATGAGTTGAGTTGAGTTTCGGTAAAAGCCCGAAACAGTTCGCAGACTGGTTTCAATCAGGGCCGTGTCGATAAAAAACAACATAATCATGACATATAAACAAAAGTAATATAACACTGACAGATTCACAACCATAACACGACAATAATAGGAAATAAGCTAAAAACACTTTACTTAATTAGAACTATATTGGTAGACCAAAAGATAAACAATTAAATAAGTTACATATATGATCATCATAATCTGTTTGCATATTTATAAAAACAAAAAAGAAGTTTAACAAGATTATAAATAAGTTAAAAACATATTATGTATTCATGTTAAATATTAAATAATCAAACTTTAAAACAATAAACAAAAGAAAACACACATAATGTAGAATGTGTAATAATTGTGAAATTAAGACAAATGCGTATTTCATATTAAGTAGAAGTAAAATGAAGTATGGAATAATAATAAATACTTAAGAGCATTATGAATATGGATCAGTTAAATACTACATATATAATTGTTTTGTTTTTAAAGAGACAAAAACTGATAACGTATTGCAAAGATCATATTGCACACGAATAGTTTTTTTTAAAACATATTGCGTAGGAGTAATATAACATAAATAACAATGATAAATAGGTTGAAATTATGAGATAAAAATTGTATACAACTATAAAACCTTAACAACATACAACAACAAAGCCTTCTTAAACTAATAAGTTAGCCCCTCCCCACGTACACACTTATTTCGTATTACGTCAGCTTTGCCTTAAAAATATTTAACGATTTAGCACCTTAGATAATTATAATCCTAATGATTTTAATACTGATGATATTCAAACATTTCAATCATAATCATAATCATAATATACTCACAGAGGAAAAAGCACTAGATCTATATGAACATTTCAAATCTGTTTGTAGCTTTAATATAATCTATAGGAGGACTCTAAAATCCGAAAAATTCCCTAATAATTTTACTAAATCTAACGTATTATTTCAATCGTCTTTGCATTATCCTTCTTCCTCTTTTATATTTCTTGCATTGTAGTAAAAAATGCTCTATTGTTTCTGAAACCTTATGGATACAAAGTCCATCTTCATGTTGATTAATAATGTGCTGATAATAATTTAATTTGCATTTCCCTAGTCTCAACTGATGTATTATTACTTCCTCCTTTCTATTAAAACCTTGAATATTTTCTGTTTTTGTGGCATTGGCTTAATTCGCCATAATTATCTTCCATTTAATGAAGACTCCCATTGAAATTGCCATATCTCTTTATACATTGAAGACACGTGATTTGTCAACTCTTCCTTTATGTATACAATTTCTAGTTCTATGTTTTCTTTTCGCGCTCCTTTTTTGGCTAGAGTGTCTGCTATTTCGTTTCCTCGAACGCCGCAATGGGAAGGTAATAAGGTATCATTCAAAGTTATCTCTATAATGTCTGACATTTGTAGTACTTAATTTTGTACATAATATCAGCAACAAGGGTATTTTGAACTTTTTGGCTGCTTTCTAGAGCCTGAATTGCTGACAATGAATCTATCAGGAAAACTACTGACATTCCTTTACTATCTTCAAGCCATTCCAATGCCATCACTATCGCTACTAATACGGGCCAATGTTTATTGATGATAACTTATAATTCTCGTTATGCCCAATTCTGGTATATAAAAACCACATCCAGTGCTTTATTGTTAAATAACCTTTCCATCTTGTATGACAATACACAGTTCTTCATATCTGCAATAGAACTTTGTTTTGTATTAATAATTGTGTGAATATAATAGGAAATATTGGGCGTTGAATAACACCAGAAAGGTTCGATTAACACTCTTTTACTCAGTTGCTCAACTTTAAAATCAGTATTGCATGCTCTTTTGATAAAAGGACCTTGACCTGGTTTCCAGTCAAGTTGCTCAAAATACCAGCATGGTTCAATAATTTGTAAAGTTGGATGGTGGTTGTCTTTATTTGACAATAAGTAAAACATATACATGTCAACAAATAGATTTCTTCTTAATTGCAATGGACGTTCACCACATTCCACTTGTAGTGCGTCGAGTGAGGTATTATAGACAGCTCCTGTTATAATTTTCAATGCTTGATATTGGATTGAGTCTAATTCTTTCTTTAACGTACGGCTTGCTGAATCGTATAATTCACAGCCGTATAGTCCAATATTGATCGTATTAGTCCTTTGTATACTATATAGAGAATTTCACCTTTGTTGCCCCAGTTTGTGCCCGCAATACATCACAACAAATTAATTCTTTTGGAACATTTCTCTTTTATAATTGTAATGTGCCCTTTTCCACGTCAATCTGACATCAAACCAAATACCAAGGAATTTATATTCCTTATATTGTAGTACTAACTTATCATTAATCGTTAGTTTCACTTCTTTTTGAGGCCTGTTGGCATGGGCGTAAATCTGTAATTGATACCTATATTGTTCAGGGGGGATGATCTATTCATTCATCCCTGAACAATAGGTATTACGTAAGGATTTACGCCCATGCCTGTTGGTAAAAACCATTGCAGCCGACTTTTGTGTTGAAATATTCATACTCCAAGTTTTACACCACCGTTCAATTTCAATGATGGCTTTTTGCATCTTCTTTTGCAAAAACTCAAAATGTTTGCCGTGGCACCAGTGGCGTACGCAGGATTTTTCAAGGGGGGGGGGGGGGGGGGGGGGTTTTAACATTTTGAAACGGGGGCCGAAAAAATCGAACGGCTCAGCCAGCCAGGGGGGGGGGGGGGATAAGGTCACCTTTTTTTAGGTCAGCCATAATTTTTTTATATATAATATATTTTTTTTTATAATTAAATTTTTAAAAAAAATTAAAAAATCCAAGGGGGGGGGGGTTAGGGGGTTTTCTTAAAAAATACACAAGTAAAAAAATAAAAAAATACCAGGGGGGGGGGGGTTAACCCTCCCCCCCCCCCCCCCCCCCCCCCCCCCCACCCCCCCCCCCCCCCCCCCCCCCCCCCCCCCCCCCCCCCCCCCCCCTGCGTATGCGCCTGCGTGGCACCACACGGCTATATCATCTGCATACATTGACATTTTGATGGATTTCTCTATGATTTTTATGTCATTCAGCATAATATTGAACAAAATCGGGCTGGTAACACTGCCTTGAGGCGTTCCGTTTTGTAAAATATACTGGGAAGATAACTTACCATCAATTTTAACCTCACAGTATCGATTGTGTAAAAATGTATTTATCCATCGTAATGCTTTTCCCTTAATATTAAGCTCGGGACATTTGTATACTATTCCTTTTCTCCATAGAAGATCATACGCCTTTTCAAGGTCGATGAAAACAACTAAAGTATATTCTTTATTAGCTAATCCCTTCTGTACATCTGTCTCCAATCTAAGTAGTTGATCTATTGTACTTCTGTTTCTTCTAAAACCAGCCTGTAATGGTGTCATGATATCGTTTCGTTCCATGAACCATACCAGTCTATGTTTAACCATTCTCTCAATAAGTTTAAAGAATGTGGGAGTCAACGAGATGTGTCGATATGACGAAGGATTAGTCGGATCTTTGTCAGGTTTGAGTATAGGGATTTGAATGACATGATACCATTCTGCAGGGGAAAACTGAGGAGTTCCAAATATCATTAAACAACAGTAATAATAATTTAAGAGCATTTTAAGGTAAATGTTGTACCATTATAGCTTTAATGCCATCTTTACCAGCTGATGAATTTTTCATTTCTTTTAATGCCACTGTTAACTCTGTTTTCTGAAAAGTAGCTGTCTTCAATTCAATTCTTAATTTCTTTTTCGAATGTACATCTTCTGTCTATCTCGTCTTTATCTATTCGACAATGATATCTATCGATTTAAAAGCCGCAGCAATTACATCGGCTTTTTTGTGTGTGTCTTGGATTGGTTCTTTGTCTTCAGTAAGTAAATTTGAATTATTTTTTTGGTTAAAGTACTTCTCTCTATCCCTTTCACCATATCCCAGACTTTGCCAAGGTTCGTCAGTCTGTTTAGGGATTGACAATATTTTAGCCAGTAGGCTTTTTTTGTTCGTCTTTTTACCATTTGGGCATAAGCTTTCTTTTTTTAGATAAAAGTCTAACTCTTCCTTCTTAAAGTGTTTGCTTAATCTATTTCTATATTTATTTCGTTCGTTAATTGCTTCTTGGTATTCTTGAGTCCACCATGGGACCAGGTTTTTAGTTTTTCGACCGCTTCCGGCTCTGTGGAAAGTTTTTTCTGCCACTTCATTAATAATTTGCAAAATCAAATTGTATTTACCTTGTACGTTCAAATCCTTTGAAAATTTTAAGGTATCTACGTCAAGAATTTTGATTTAATTCCTTCTTTATATACATTCCAATTTACATTTTTAAATGACCATTGTTTTTCAATCGTGTCATTATCATAGTCTGTATGAACGTAATCGTTTTCTCGGAGTGAGCACATTACATTGTGATCGCTCCCGAAATTTCCTAATACTGTCCCATATAATTTACTTGCAATTTCTTTGGATACGATTGTTAAG